ATCAATTTTTTCCGTATTTCTTCTGTAAATTTTATGTTTAGATTCAATTTTACAGAACGCTTCGTGGCTCTCTAGATTTTGTTGTAAAAATCTACCAAGATTTTCGAAGAGAATCCTCGAGAAAAGGAACGAGTTGGACCTTTCGCACACATTCTATGCCCTTCTTCTCTTTCCTCGATTCAATGTCGCCACGTCCGCAAATCGATCGCTCGCGATCGTAATTTTTGTGAATTGTCTCTCACGACGAATCCACGATACATGCAGGCAAGAGAAAGCAAAATACTCGATAGTTTCATGCGAGAGTGGCGCGAAAGCATCTCTAATCATGAATTGAGGATGAAGAATTTGTAGTGATCGTCGTCGTCGTCCTTTTTAACATGCGTCCTGATTGCGTAAAATATTGTTGGTCGAGCCGGCGATCATCGGCGATCGTGACACATTTCTGAGCGAGATGTATGTATGTTTGTGCGTGGTGTGTATGTGTGTGTGTGTAGAAAAATCCATACAACGTAAATTATTCCAGCAATACTGTAACAACATTGCAACGTTTCAGCAATATCGCAGATAAAAAAAGAAATTCTATTTTTGTCAAAGTGTCCTTATTTGAAAATTGACAATTTAAAAAATGATTAGAATTATTTCTATTAATTGAAAAGTGACAATTAATAGAATTATTTCTATGAATTGATTTATTCTCTTAGTCTAATTTCGATTTATAATTATCTAAAAAATTAAATTTCGTAGAAAAGAGGGAAAACTATTTTTCATTTTACACGAAATTATTAATTAATCAAATAATGTAAAAGAAATGTATTCTTAATATGATGAAATGTCATTTTCACAATTCTTAAAAACTCTTTTAATTAAAACTCTTATAATTTTTGACGATTTTTTATGAAGTAAATTTATTTTTGATGATTGATAGAGTAACGTTTACTTAACTTATTTATGGTAATAATTACGAAGAAATATACTTTTTAGATTTTTGTACCACTTTTGAAGTAAGAGAGTGATATGCAAAATAGACTTCCTTCTTTCATTAATAACATTGCAGTAACATTGCAGCATTGCAGTAATATTGCTGCAAGCTTTTATGATGTATGGGAAGAAACAGATTTTTCCTTGGCTCTTCGGATTGGCGCGACGTTTCTCAGAAAGCGTTCACGTAAATTGAAGAGTCTGAAAAAAAAATGATATGAAAAAAAAAAATGTAATAGCGCGATAGTTGGCGATAAAACTATGGAAATTAATAGTCGATTAGCCGAGATATAGTTATTATCACTAATTACTAGTCTCGAGGGAAAAGAGAGGGTGCGCGAGAGAGGATGAGTACATAAAGAGTTATGCAGAACCGCAAACGACGGCCGCGCCGGTCCAAACGAGGATTTCGTCCTAAATGTGCATTCTAAATGGGAGGCTCCGTCGCAGTCGGTCTGCACGATACTCTTGCCATGATACCGCGATGAACAAATCGATTTCTCCCGGTGCGCGATCGTCGACGCCCCGAGCTTCGCGCGTAGTTTGTTGTAATAACGAGGAATTAATTAGAGAGCGCAGATGTGCGTACGTTTGTCCAATATCGCGTTAAAAAAAAGTGGAAAAAGAAAATGGGAGGAGATAACGCATGCCTATCTCTTATAAATTGAATTCCAATACCCGATCGCCATCGATCCTTGAGTGATATTCGCGGATCCTCTGGACACACCGCATTGAACTCTCGTATCTTCGGATTCTTGAATCCCGGGAATCGTTAATTCCCCTTGCTGAAATTTAATTTCATATTGAAAATTACTTATTTCAATTATTAAAAACAGTCAACAGCATTGCTTTTAATTTTCAAAATAAGTAATTAATCACTACCCTCCAGTATTAAATTTCTGTAAGGGTCTTGCGTTTTCGAGCGGTGAAATTTCCGAATACTTGAGCGCTCCGATCTCTGGATCCTTAAATCCTTTGATTCTGTAGCCTCGAGGTACGATAGAAATTAATTGCGATCCGACTCTGGGAGTCTCCCCGAGGTTCTTGAATATATATATATATATGCCTAAGTCTTGAAAATTTTCGACCTGTGAGATACCTCTCAGATAATATGCATGTCTGAAAAACGTCTTTTGGTACATGCAAGGCTAAGATATTTAAAAGACATCATAAACACGTTTTCTAAACATTGCGTGTTGTCTGAGTCGGACCTTCGTATTACGATATTTAAAGTCCAAGCATTTAAATGAATTGTTGCTAATGGACGATGGACATGGATGCTTTCGATACGTTTCTAAAGCCTTGTGTTCATAATGCTGGAAAATCATGATTTGTTAATTTTTGGTCACCAATGCGATTGTTCAATTCTTTCTCCATCTCGAACCGATTTTTAGCATCGTGGACACAAGACTTTATTCTCGGATTCCTAGATCCCGCGGCCTCAATCCCCCGCACAGAAGTTATTTGCGCACACGTCGTAGTCGACGCCCGAGAATTACGAATCGAATTTCCGAGGCGAGACAAATATTATCCTTTTCCTTCATAGAAGAGAGAAAGAGAGAGAGAAAGAGAGGGAGCAGGTGTCCGAAATTCGTGGTGCATTGTACGCGCTGGTATTTTTTCGGTGTTCGCGGCGATATAGAGTGTAAAATTAGCGACAAGTAAATAAACGTAAAAAAGAAAAGATGAAAACCGCAGCCGGCGTCGTAACGTATACATAGAGATATTTACATAAGCAAGAAATAAAAAAAAAGGGACGGCGTCGTAATGTGTATAGATAAAATAATTTTTGGTGCGCGACGCGCGAACGCCGTGACGATGACGTTACTACCGCATGACGAATAATAACACAATTAATTATTATTAACGATTATAATTATATATTGTCCCGATTATTATTAGAGTGACGTATGGAGATTTATTACTGCGACCACGAAAGCTCGCAAAGGAGAAAAAAAAACTTTGATCTTTTATCGCAAGGAGTACATACAACAAAATATATAAGCGTTTGTAAGGCACACACGTGAAACAAAATAAGTTAACGCGAGAAAGAGTGCACGAGAGAAAGGAAGAGAGCCGAGAGAATGAAAGAGAAAATGGGAGAGAAATGAAAGCGTGAGTGCGCAAAGAGAGAGAGAGAGAGAGATAACGTGCGTGAGAAACAGTAGTTCGTTTTTGAGTGTTGAGAATGTTCATTTGTAATTGTTTAAATCTAATGAGAAATGTACTGTAAAACCATAAGTACTATAGGCACTAAAAATATATCATTTGTTGACATGAAAAAATAAAGAAAAACCGACTGTGTGGCATGAGTTCTGTCCGCCGGGAGTCAACGAGATGGCATATACTCGCACACCGGCAAACACATATATACGTAATTGCGATGCATATTGCGTATGCGTGCACGGTATCCCGTGTACTTTATTATTATTGTAAATTTTTTTCCTTTTCGTTTTTTTTTTCCCCCTCTCTCTTTTATATGATAACGAGAGCCGCGAGTTGGAAGCACCGTCGAGTGGACGGGAGAATCGTCTTCAATTAGGCGAGAGTCTCGAAGATGACACGAGCGAGAGCATTTCGAGCTTCAGTCTATAGCGTTTAAGCGCGTGGGCAATAGTGATATACAATAGCCGTGAGCAAAACGTGTTATCGACTTTTTGTAGCAGAAAGGCGGCACCCGTCGAGCTGCATCGAGGATCTCCGGATTGAGGTGCCATTAAAAATGCAAAGTGTGACAGATAGACCATTAAATGTTCATTTTGTCAAGTCGACCGAAGTTCATTCCACTGCGATTATACGTTCGCGATGCGTCTCCGTTACGTTTTCCGTCATTTATCCGAGAGCTATTATTTTGTTATCTAAAGTTGCATATCGGAGGATATGCGACACTCGGGGGAACGGCAGCGAGAGGTTTCCGAGATCCGGAGAAAGGGATGTCATGAGAGAGGTAAATGACATCTCGATATGATTTATCTACGCATATGATGGATAATGTCTTTCACAACATACGTTTTATTCGTTATTTACAATCATAATTTACAGCTATAAAAAAATCTAGTACGGTTGTTAATCAATACGTTGCGGCAAGCATTGTTAAAATTACATATATTAGTTGTGTGACAAAATACAGGTTGCAATAATCTATCTTAGGCGAACATTAGGTTCGCTGGTGTAACACACTCGCTAAGTCTGCCGCTGCTAAAAACATTTTATTACCCTTTCTACAAATGTTAAAAAAATAGTGCAGTTTCTCGCGGAATATCCGATATCGATTTTACAATTAACCTCTTTTTACAATCGTCATCTCAAGTCGAAAACACTGGCGGATCTATGGGGGAAACTATGGGCGCCACGGCCACCTCTCCTCGGAGTCTTTTTTTTTAAATATGCGACAAAATTATTTAATATTTCTCACAATTTAATCACAATTTTGATATTCTAAAAATATTTTTTAATTTAAGAAACTCCTAATATTAAAAACATATTTTTAAAACAGATTCTATTATATTATTCTTCTTTTATATTAATATAATTTTAAATAAAAAAACGTTTTATAAATTATACATTTAAATATTTTTTCAATGTAATAATCCATGTGATAATTTAATGTTCTGTTTTTTTTATATTTAATTAAAAAAAAAAATTTCGCTTGCTGCGCATCAAAGGCCTCTATTCAAATTTATGGATCCGCCAATGTGCGAAAAGTATGAAGATTATAAAAATGTTAAATATATCTAATATTAATGTATATTAGACACGATTTATGAAATTTATGAAATGTGACAGCCAATTTCCGATAATATTGGCAAAAAGTTGAAGTAAGAAAAGGCACCGATTATGTCAATCATGATTAACGGGTCTTCTCGCGGTCGATTAAGAGATTAAAACAATTAGAGATGTAGAATTCATATGGAATTTTCAAGTCACTTTTAAAATCCATAAAAGGATAATGTCAGCATTGTCACAGATTAGTCAGATCGCTATACCGACTGTCGCTACTGTTGCTGCTGCTGTTGTTGCTGCTATTGCTGCTGCGTGGGACTGCTGATGGTCTCCATTTTCTGTTCGTTCTCCCGATTCGGCGAGTCCTGTTTCCTTTTCTCCTCGTCGCCGTCTTTCGTTGGTGGTGCCAACAATGCGTTCAACAAGCCTTGCGCAAAGCATTATTAATATCGTTTTACTATAACATCTTATACTGCCTTAACAAAAATAAGTATAAAATACCCCACAAGTTGACTATTTATATCTAACAAAAAATAAATTAAAAACAATTTTATTGAAAATAATGTTTATTTTTACAAAAATTTTAATATTTGTTGTCCTTTGCTTTTATTATCGTTTTTTTTTAATAGAAATAAAAGCAATAAATTAAGGATGTTTTATATTTATTGCCAAGACTGTATATTACAATGCAATTAATTGATCGAATTATTAATTATCAATCGAAATTACTTACCAATATTCTCTCCTTTAAATGAGGTTCCTAACAAAAAGAAACCAATTAAAATGCAATCCGTTCAAAAATTCGACTTGAAACTCGTTAAAAAAGATTCGCGTTCGAATCGGTTGGAATTTAAAACTACTTCGAAGGAACCAAACTTTCGACGACGGTATACTATCGAGAGAACAAACAATTTCGACCGTATCACAAAATTGATCGCGGGCGGACAATTTTTACTCACCGTTATCGCGATACTTATTCAACTGCTGGTACACCTGTTTCATCCGTTCGATGTTGATGCGTGAGCTCTTGTTATGGTTCACCATCGGCAACGAGTACTCCTTGCCGATGATGCACTTGGCAGCGTGCTGTATACTAAGCGGCGCGTTCCAGGGCTCGTGAATGTACCTGGTCGGGAAGTTCTTCAACACCGGCAGATAGCGTCTGCTCGTGGGAACAAAATGATTTTATCTTGAAATAATCCCTTATATTCATTTGCTACAATGACATAACTAAAAAAAATTGCGATTTTTTTAACTGCTCATAAAAAATGGAAACATAAAAGAAAAATATATTTTTAAAATACATATTTTTTATTTCTCTATAATTAGTTATTACTATAATAAAAATTGCATTTCAAAATTAAAATTGTAATAATTCAATTCAAATCATTTAAACTTAGTTTGAAAAACTTTGTTTTTTACTTATATATGAGCGATATAAACTCTACATATACAGGGAAAGAACGATTTTGTTGAAGTATTGGAAAATTTAACGAGAGAGAGAGAGAGAGAGAGAGAGAGAGAGAGAAAGTATGTAATTTTGTTAAACTATCAAAATAATTATGTAGGAACTCGAGCATAATGAGAATAAACAAGGAATGAGCAATGTGTTTGAAATGTTACAAAAAGTTTTGACAGTTTAGTAACCAGCGTCCTACATAACTACATATTTTGGTGGTTTAACAAAATTATTTTCAGATCTGTCAATTTAGCTAAAAAATCGTGCATTAATTATATGGAAAATTGGATCCCAGTGAAATAATTTAGTTTTTACGTACATGTGCTTATTATGTGACAACAAAAGATGTCATAGATACAAGGCTCAATAATGGATAATTTTTTAACCCTGGTGTATCAAAGACATAAAATTTGTCCTCATAAAGCACCTTTGACACATCACAGCTTAAAAATCATCCATTGAGCCTTGTGTCTATGACATCTTTTGTTTATTATATTACAAGCTACATTATATGTAAAGACCAACGACATATATACATAAACCAATAAATTGGTCCATAGCTTGAAGCTGCAAGATGGCGGTTTAATGCGTCGTCTACAATATATGGAGTAAGAAGTAAGAGTAAGAAATTGACCAATCACAGTCGAATGTGAGAAGAATAATCGACTATGATCGGTCAATTTCTTACTCTCACTTCTTACTCTGTATTGTAGATGACGCATTATAGGATTCGTGCATCCGTTACATTTCTTTCTATCACGAGAAAGAGAGGAATGCTCTTTGTCAATTCTCGATAGTTGCAGGTATCAGATAGAGTGAGATAGCACAGATGCTTAACGACTATTTAAACTATCAATTTCTGGCTTCATCCCTCACTGTTGAAAAACAGGAATGTTTGGTTTATACATAATATATGTCATTAGTAAAAACTAACTTATTATATTAACCGGGACCTAATAACTCTAATTTTTCGTATAATTAGAACTACTATAATTATATATTCTATAACAATAATTATAGGATCCACTAATTATGTGGTCGATTGGATCTCAGTGAAATATGAATTAGTTTTCTGATGAACATTGTGTCACTATCATTTCGTCACGATAATCTTTTGCACGATTAAGCTTTAATGGAGCTAAGCTGTTTAATGTTCCATCTATCTTGCGGCTGAATTTCGCCTCGCTCAGATTAACGCCTGATACGTTACAAATTAAGATCAATCAAGATTAAAATTTCCATTAATCTGGCCATCGCGTGAGCGTTAATCATTATACCGATACCATCGGGCACGCGATCGTTAACGTAAATGTTATTTCGGATGGAAAAAACATTGATAAACGCGCCAGTCAACATTTTTTTCGGAATTTTTCGCGCATCATATTGCGGTCTTGCATATTTAAAAAAAAATTGTATAACTTTTTTAATCGATTACCTGATATAGTCGCCGTTCGGATCCGCTTTCCTGCCGAATCGTACGGGGCAATAGCAGTGGAAAAATTGTTGGAAAAACGAACTACACGACAACCACATCCACATGCCGGCATTGACGGACCAATCGGCGTCCAAGAGAAGTTCGTCGAACACCTCAAAGGAAGACATTAGATTCAACGTGAAATAGTTAAAATAACTAATAAATCAACGAATATAATTCCGAATTTATTAATATTAGCATCGATCTATTCTCTAATTTTTGTTAGAATGAATTGTTATTCTGAAGAGTGAAATCATTTTCAAAACTGGCTCAATTTTCTTTAATTCTTTAGAGTGGATGTTTACTCCAAAAAACTTAGAGAGTATCTTTAGGTTGCTTAACACTTTTTACACATAATTAAATAGACTCATTAATTTTGTTTTTTACTTCGACGAATAAAATAAGTTCTGAATTATTGTTAATAGAGTTATTCTGTAGAACGAATAGTTTACTTATTTATTTTTTTAACTGGAGAAATATGTTACATTAGATGCGCTGCACGTATTTCCGAGGAAAAGATCTCGAAACAAGAAATATTTCTACGAAGTCTGTATATTAATGATAACAAACGAATAAGAAGAAACAGACAGAGAATAATTCAACGTGTGTCGATTGAAATGCCAGGCGTGCCGTGACATTTTACCTTCATTCCTTCCTCCCATGAGATCCAAAGGTCGCCCCTGGTCAAGAAACAAGCTACCGCATGTCTGGCCAGGTGATGAATCCAACCCTCTTCCCGTAACTGCGTCATGATTGCATCAATCCATGGAAATCCCGTCTGACCCTGAAGCAGAAAAGTTCAGTACTTTTGTAAAAGCAGAACTCCTTAGTTACGAATTGAATATTTTAAAAATGTGCAAAAATAATTATAAATTCCTAAAATTAAGGGAAAAAAGAAATTTCCTATCGTTGTAGTGAAAAAAGTGCAAAATAAATGAAGTTTCCAAACCCCTGATAAAAATAAAAGTCAGAGCGTAAGTCGAATGTAAGATGAGAATAATAGAAGCGTAAACGAAGCTTCTAGGAGGCAAAAATTGAAACAAGGAAACGTAAAAATAAAAGAAGTGTTAAACGTCTATTTTACGTTTCATTGTTTCAATCTTTGCTTCCTTTCGAAATTTCGTTTACGTTTCTGTTATTCTCTCCTTACATTGGACTTAGATTCTCATTTTCGCCAGGATAGTGTTGCAAATGCGGTTATATTAATCAGTCATATAATAAATTTTTCAGTTGCAAAACTAGTCTAGTGCATTCTATTTTAGTAAACAGAAATTGTATCTATTTCTTATGTCTTATTATATGTTTTGTTAATAAAAAATTGAATTTTTCGTAATCGAAAAAAATTATATTATTTATTGATAGCTTCAATGATAAAAATTATATTGTATAAATTTTGTCGCTCTCATCAAAAAAAAATTTCAAGTGAAGATTGATTTTTATCAATGGGCTCAATTACTCAAATGTTCTTCGTGTGCGCGTGTGTGTGTGTGTGTGTGTGTGTGTGTGTGTGTGTGTGTGTGTGTGTGTGTGTGTATTTATATATATTTACTCTCATTAATTCATAGAATTGAAAATAATATTGTATTTTTTTTATAATATTGTATTTTTAATTGTAATATTGTATTTTTTTTATTGTTAGAGTTTTTTATTTGATCGCACTGTACGAACAAAACAGCAAAGCAAATTGGCCTCTGTCTGTGTACAAGATATCACTCACATTCGCCCACTTTGCGAGTGCTTCCACGTTCTTGTCCCATGGTATCTGCACGCAAATCGGATTGCCCTGCATTTTGTCGAAATTTGGATTCTTCGTCGCTGCACAGTAAAAGAATTCGCGCCAGAGAAGTTGCCCGTGCAACGATAGCGGCGGCACCGCTTTCTTTATCTGAAACAATATTAGTAAAAAAATCATAAACAGTATTATAATAGTATTGAACAGTATTATAGTTAAATTGAGCTAATTATTCGCTTCTAAAATTATCAAAAGACGAAATGTCGCTTGATGAAGGTAACATCGTTGTTTTAAGAAAAAAAAAGCAACAACAGAAAAATTTCGTTGATTATACAGTAATGTAAAAAAAATATATATATATAGAGAAGATTTTTATAAAAAATATTATTTGGATATAAAATAAACATTAATTAATAATTTATTAACATTAAATGTATTTTGTGTTTATCCTAAATAAACAAGAGCTTCGCGCAAATAATCGTGTTTATATTCTTATAATTAGAAGTAAATTCGACTGTATGAATACTTTTTATGTGTCCAAATAATGCAATTTTTCATTTTTAATTACTAATATATAATATAATAGATTTTAATTATTACACATCTTTTTAGATAAAATAATTTTTAAAAATATACTCTAAATTCTTTGGAATCTCACTCTAAAGAATGAAAATTAAGCCAATCATAAAAAAGAGTAGCTCAATTTTCAATTTTTAAGAGTGAGATTTCACTCTTTAGAGTGAATCTTATAAAGTTTTAGAGAGTACAATATTTTATTCTTTCTTAATAAATTGCCAATTCATGTTTACTTTTTAAAAATAAAAAAATATAGAGAAAATATTTAAAAAAACGTTTAGATATCTCCTATATATTTTTTACTCATTACTGTATGTTATGCTCGCTAAGAAACAATGGGAACATTATACTCTCATAATCACGAACTTGTACGGAACAGCTTTCGCGATTTTTCGCAGAAATAAAAATCTCACGGCGCAATTAACGCGTCCCCGAAGTTTCATTTAATTATTACCGCAAAGTTTCCGAGCGAAAAGGAGAAGAAAAGCAGGATAGAAACTTGCGAGAAGTTTCCCGCGATAAATTTTGTGCGCGATAGATACATCTCGCATCGTCATTTTCATGAACAATTTACGTGCGGAATTGTGGAAGAACATCTTCTCGTGGAAGAACATTTCGTACCTTCTTATATAGATCGGTGAGTTGATAATAAAACAACCGCGTACTGAGACAGCCGAATCGCAGATAAGGTGAGAGTCCAGTCTGACTCGGCAATAAGGATTGCGGTGTCATCTTCGGTCTGCCGAAGCTCGCTACCCATGCCTTCCTCTCGAGGTGACGTTCAAGCCGAGCCAGGGCCTCGCTTTCACCGCCGACCCACACCGGTGGCAGCAGACTTTCCGTATCGAAGCCTATAATTATTAAAAAAAAACCGGGGAGCTTGTACAGAAAAAGTCATATTCCCGTCGAATAATTTTTCGGTAAGTTAGCAACAAGACTCGGGATTTTATTATCTGTTCCTCTACTCGGTATTTTATTATCTTTATTCTCATTTCCGTAGATTCGTGCAGCGAAATTTCTGATTGAAAATGACCGAACCAGAAGTTTCTGATCATATCAATCAAAATTCTGGTTATCTCGACTAGAATTATAAAACCAGAAAATTCTAATTTGTTAAGCTATACCTTCATTTAGGATTAAATTTAATAGCGCGCTTATTTTTTTCTTTCCTTTTAACCCTTTCAGACCCCTTCTGATTTTAATGGAACTATGTTTTAAACAAATTTTTTTAACTCAATTCAAGGACATTTTAATAAGTAATTTATAGTAAAAAATTAATTTTTTTTTCAAAATTTTGACTATTTTTCCAACATACACATTATTACATATATCTGGTTTCAGATGATATCAGTGAAACTAATCAATGGGTAATATCTACAAATTTGATATACACAGAGTTTGAAGGAATTAAATTAATTAAATTATTTATGTTTATAAAAATCTAAATTATAAGTGTTTTGTAATTAAAAGAATGAAATATATGAAAATATTATATTATTAATTTAAAATTTTCTGCTTGAACATAACGTATCAATAATAATATTGTATCATTTAACATCGATAGCATTCTAGAGTTAATTCGGCGCCGTAAAATCCCAGCTTTAATATTCCATTCAAAAAAATTTTATTTTATGGTTCTCTTTATATTTGGTAAAATTTCGAGTTATTACTGACTGCAATTAATTTATTTTATAATATTAAGCATCTCAATGAATAATCCTCGAGCTTAATGTATTAAAAATTTAATTATGTGCAATAAAATATATTGCTACTCGACACTTATTGTATAAAAAGTAACATGTTTTCGATTGTTTAGCGCTCGAATGGCGCCTCGACAGTTTTATTAAGAAAAACTCGACTTGGAATATCGACCAAGGAATCTGTCACTAAAATTAAAGAGTCGTAGACATTCCGTACAGCACAATGTTATTCGGCGAATGTCTTGCTTCTTCATCCTTTTGGCATTACAGAGAATTGCAGGAGAAAAAAGCTGAAAGCCTTCGGGAATCGTTCTGACATTTGATAACAATGAGAAAAAACGGCGGAATAATGTGCGACATTTGAAAGTGAGGGATACAAACTATGATACTCAAAGAGCTATACATCAATGAGATAATGGGCTATTGCGCCGTGCCGAGAACACTTTAAGACGCCTGACACTTAATAATAAGAACAATCAGCTAAGGTAATTAATAATCGATCGGATCTCTTCGTAGTTGCGATGAGTGATGCGGAGTGCATAATACAGTTTGAAAACTACGGATTGCAACGCGCCATCGATGGATGAATTATGTTATAATACCCGATTGCTCGCCTTACGGATGGCGAATTAATATTGCATCGACTAATCTGCCGCGAATGAATTCTCCATGGCAAACGCAACAGACTTGCGCTTACAATTAATCTGCAGTTGTCCAACTTGGGATATTCTATTCGAAATGCATATCTCGTTATTACCTGATATATCACGAAATAACACCCCGGTCGAGTGTTCTAGTTTATGCTGAATGTTTGACCTCAATTTTAATAATTGGTTTTTAATTAAGTCGGATCGATTTTTCTTTAAGTCGAAGTTTATGAAAAAAAATAAAAGATAAAAAGAAAGTCTGTACAAAACAACGCGGTTGATGAATGAATGACATGAATTTTTAATTGTTTTATTATTATTAATAATACTTTTGTACTAGTATTAATAATTTTTGTATTAATTATTATGAATATTGAATATACGTATATACAATAATTCACGCGTTATTGTATATACTTGTTCGTTAGAATCCTATATAAGCCCAGTATTGACAGAACTTTGGCCGTCAGTTGACAGTCATTACAACAGTTGGCCAAGTATTAGTTTTGTAATTGCAAGCGACCTTATATGGGATGTCAAAACTTTTTGCAACCTTATTATCAACGCTTAAACGATCTTCATAATTATTTTAATGGTTCAAGAAAATTATTTTTATATAGATCTGTATATAGTTAAACTTTTAGATACTTCAATAAAACTGCTTGCATATATTTAGGAATTCTTAATTAATAATGAATGATTACTTTGATTTGTTGTTTAACGAGGTAACAAAGACTTAATTCTAAAACATTAAACCTTTTTTGTTGTGAAAAATTTTTTTCTTACCAAGTTCTTCGAGGGTGGGCACTCCATAATGATCGTCATGATCGTCCTTTAGGGGTGTGTAGGCGCTGCCAATGCAGGCGGCAGTCACTGTCGGTGCCGGCGGTTCTGGTGGGTCCATGCCGGCGACGACGTTTTGAAATTGATGATAGGTCAACGGTGGTTTCCCACTATTTCTCTCTATAATCCTGAAACGCGTGACAACGAGAATGGTGGAGTCACGAAATAGCTTGCGAACAATGGCGAAAGTTGCGACGTAATATTTAATCCTAGCAGGTCCTGCTAGAATTCTATTCTAAACACTCGGATATGTACTCGAAGTGTAGTTAATTAACACGTATAAGCTTTCCAAGGATATATATATTTCTTCTTTTTTTTCCCATAAATATCTCGTTAAATTTTAAGATTATATTATAATTACAAAGTTAGATTTCAATTACAGTTAGACAGAAACTAAAGGTTAATTCTAAATAAAGGTAAATTTTTTTAAATTTAATTTGACATCTACTATCATTAAAACTCTCGACAAATATAATGTATATATTTTTACTATTTAAAAATAAAGGGAAAAATATAATAAAAATCATTCAGAAAACGTGTATATCTCAGAAAAGCACCGTTATAAATTTGATAAAAATAATAAACAAAATATGACAAAAAATAAAAAATTTTGGCTTTAATAGTGTTAAATTTATATTGTTAAATGAGATTATTCACATTTTGTCTCAAATCAATATGAAAAATTTCAATCAATGTGGAAGTATTGAGCAATTTTTCTAACTCACTCGTCTAGTCTATAAAGAGTGTGCGAGACTCTCTGGACCACCGAGATACCGAGCTCTTTACAAAGAGCCGAGATATTATGATCTCGCACGCGGCCAAATGGCTCCGGATCCTCCTCGAAAGTCAGATCTGTTGTGCCCCATTCTTTGAAGAGCTTGGGGAGCGCATCGGCCGGCTGTCCCCGGATCACAAACAGCCGGGAATTTAGTTTCCTCAGGGAACAGTCTAGGTCCTCTAAACATTGCAGTAGAAACCTGTCGGATTGCACGTAAAGCAAAATCGATTAGATGTCGCACAATTACTTAATAATGTTTTTAGATAATGTAAAAATAAATATACAGGACAGGAGAGCAATAACTTTGTCCACTTAAAGTATTTTAATTATTTTTAAAAGCATGAAAATATTTTAATTGTGGAAGTAATTTTAATGTCAAAAGAGGATCATAATATGCTAGTAATAATTTTTCTGTGGGTGGATGCGCTTTAAAAAGCTTGAAGATATCTCCATTTTTTAAAATAGAATTATATAATTTTTTTATCTAATATGATTTTTCTAATTATTCTGTATGTAAATGTATTAAACTAATTATTAAAAAAATCAATAATTTACGAGATATTTTATATTCGATTTTGACATATGTTGACATAAAATATAAAATATTTTGAAAACCATTAATAATAGATGATAATAATAATAATAATAATAATAATAATAATAATAATTTTATTGAATTAAATTAACTTAATTTTTTGACAATTGTAATTACATGTTTTTTTGAAAAGTAACAACGAATTTTTTTTGGATTAATTAATTCATCTCATTAGTCAGTGTAGAAAAGTGTTAAGGTAGATAGAACCGAATAGTTTATACATATTTTATATTTCGAGTGTTAAATCCCAAAATAAAGTAAAAATGCCTCGTAAATTAATTTTTCGTAAATTAATTTTATGATAACTCTACTTTATTATTTTTAAATGCAAAATAACTATAGATATCATATATATAAAAAATTATGTAAATCCATTTTTAAAAATGGAGAAAACTGAAATTTCTGAAACGCCTTCACTCACATAAAAATTATTACTTTAAAAATATGTATTATAATATGATTATGATTTGTAATAACAAATTGAAAATTACAGCATTACATTTTAATTGACTTCTTCACAATAATAACATAATAAAAGAATTGTCGTACATAAAAATTACAAAATATGGAAAACAATATTTATTAAATATTTTATTATTTATTAAATATCTCCATTGCAGTTAAATTTAAGCATTTAGCTTTTTTAATAATTAAAAAATAATTCATCATTAAGAGCAACATATAACGAGCATGCACGCCGTTTGCCGTTGATTCTTGGTCGATGTCGCCACTAATGTCTTCCTTGTCAACTGTGATTCAGTAGGATTATCGACAACATCTAAGCGATCGCTTAGGAAACGGTTACATAACGCTTAATCAACATGACAAATGATCGACGACGAAGTTGCGCCTCGAATGTCCGTTGCAGTAAATGCATCGAGATTATGCGATGCAACGAAAATCTACTAGTGTCATTTGTGAAACAATATTGACTCATTATTATCAATGAATTAAATAATCGTAACTCTTTACTATCATTGCAATATCATTCAAACCTAAGATGCGATAAGGAAAGCTTGATCATTAGTGGTTTCTCGATAATTATCCAAGAATTCTAATTATTTTCCTGTCATTTATTCACACAAGATTTAAAAATAGTAAAGATTTAAAAAAACAAGAAATAGAGGAAATAAAATAAAATAATATAAAAGTAAAATAAAATAAAGATATGTAAAGAAAGATTTTTATTTATTTTATTTTTCCGTCGATATTTAATTGCAACAAAATTTAGAAAAGCGAGAAAAATAAGAGAAAAAAATAAAATAATAAAATAAAATAGATTTATTAAAAAAAAAGATTTTTATTTATTTTGCTGACAATAATATTTACACAGGAACGGCATGTTTGAGGTGCCAACGCGTTTCATTGCATTATTCCGCTTTTAGAGTCGACTTGTATCGATCCCGCTTCCGCGATCTCGTGGGCTATCACGGGCGCTCACCTCCATTTATTGATGCCAACGTTGGTACTTCCGGCGAACCAGGGGTCCAGCACAAAGACACACCGGAAAGTGGACGCCCCCGCGAGACCTTCTTTCAATGAGGGATTGTCGTGCAATCGAAGTCCCTTGCGAAACCAGTGAACCGTATGCTTCCCGCCATCACCTCGAACTCCCGAAGTAACTGCCTGGCCCATCTCGTTCTTACTACTTCCCGTCATCTTTTCCTAGTATACCCTTCGAAGAATATAGACCTTAATTAGTTGATTCAGCGCATAAAAGTGTTTCCATTACTGTCCTACTTGAGTGCAATTACAATAAATCTATTATAATATTACAATAAATTAATGAGGCGTTTATTAATTCTATTCAGATTATTCGTACGGATTTTTTTAACGTAATTATTCACGTGAAGTTTCTGACACTCCAACATTAGATCTTTTTATTATTCTCTTTGATGATTTGCAATTAAATAAATATTCGTGATGTTCTATACATCTTTTAGATAAAGATAAATGCAAAAATTTTTTTTAATTGTAAAACAATTTACGCTAAATATAATAATATACATATATAAACAATATTCATATATTTAGCAAATTTATAGATTGGGGTGTCCTGAATACCCACAAGAATAATAAAGGATTAATAATGCAAAGAGTTTTAGAAATTGCTCACAAACAAGTTCCTTCACGAATTTATTCGAATTAAATACTTCATTCATTTTTTTTTTATCACTTTGGAATAGTTTCTTAGAATTTTTTAAAATTTAATAACTTTTCGAATTGAAAACATTTTTTAAAATTAATAATGATATAATAAAATTTTGTCGGATAATTACATTCCTAAAATTTAATACGCAAAAGACACGTGATCCTCTTCCTTCCCTGATTAGCTTTAAATGGATAACTTTTAGAAAATACCTTTTTAACTTTTAGAAATGTTTCAAGGAAACGTGAAATCCAAAAATTCGGTCAAAATACGCCTCCCTCTCTCGATTGTGATGGATCAATACATCGAAAAGCGCACATCTTGAATATCTTTGCTATTATACTCAATATTTCAAAGAAAGCCTCCACGACAGAAATGGTGCGGGTCGATTCCCATGGCTCTTACAAATGTATCTTGCCGTTCAAAATGCGTGTTAAGGACCCATCTATCTTGCTTTTCGATTCATCACTAAGTCAGAAAATAAGTCGACCTTCGCAAAGTAACCTTGAGACTACAAGGGAGAATTTCCGTTTCGGTCCTCGGAGGGTCACGTCGTGTGGAAAATTCGATTTTCTCCGGATGTCGCCGGATCTACTTCTACAGGATGTTACTTCGAAGAGACCACGCCTCGGTTGGCCCACTTCAATTTGGCGTTTCGCCATTCGCGGGGACGAGAATGACTATTAACCCTTTGAAGATTGTCCAGACAAAAAAGAAGATTTGGTAATAATAATGAAGCTTATTTATGCTCACTGCTATTATTTTAATTTCGATTTAACTAACTCTTCATCTTTTTCTAGTTCTAAGAATTTGTTGGTCCATATAGTACAGCTTATAGACAATTACAATCAAAATCTCTGAGCTACAATTTCGATCTCAGATAACTCATCCTTCAAAACAGTTCCTTGACATTCTATTCTCGGTGCAGAATTTTGCTGTGAAACACTCGACGCGGAACTACGGTTTTGTCGCCACATAATGATTCATGCGATGTCGTGAACTCCATTGTAAGGTGAAATTAGCGTATCCATTGTAAGCGAGCACGTGTACATTACTTCGGAATTAAGATTTTTTGTTTTTTGAATATATAAAAAATGCCTTTCGAAAAATTCTCTCTTATATTCGAGAATAAAAATAAATTTATGAAATTGTCGTCAATTTGGAAGATTAGATACGCAATTTTCTTGGCGATTCAGATTTCTATCTATCGTATTTGCTCCCTACAGAGATATAAAATGTTATATATAGCTGTAACTTTTATGTAAACTCCTCTCTGTCTCCTTTTTTTTGATAAAACCATTTCATTATTACACAAATGAGGACCATTCTTTTTTAAAATAAATTCAATTACTTCCATCACTTGCGATCTCCAGAAAAATCACAGCTCGCAGCTTTGTGGGAGAACTTACTCGTATCTCGCGATATCGAGGAGAATTAACGAAATCTCGACGGGGCGATTGTCTTCGCGATATACAGTTGATTTCCCCGGCAACTGAAAGGGCCAAAGCGACATGGATGCATTAATTTTATCCCACAGACACGTTTATATCTGCTACACCAATGGCGTAGCTAACGATCTCTTTCATCTCCGAAGAATAGAGACACTTTTAATAGAGACATCAAAAATTAAAATCTACATACAATTTATATATATATATATATATTCATGCGTCTCATCATCTTTAAGAAAATTCTTTTTAATTCTTTTTAATAACTTTCGATAATCAACGCATTCTTCTTTCATAATTAATTGTCAATTATTATTAATAACAGTAGAGGTGCAGATAGAGCAATTTATTATTCTGGGGTGAACGCCGTCAGCAGAGCAAGGTAATCAAGATCGATCCTTTGAAGTTTCTCTGTAGACCAGGACGGAAAGGAGGAGTCGCGGGGGAAGGAGGGACGAGAATGACCTGAATGTTGGTTACGCTGCTGCGCTGCATCGTTGCGAGTTCCATGTGTGTCATTTTCCAGCAACGGCAGCGAAACCACCGCGAGATTAGCTCTCAGACGGGGACTATCTTTCGGCGCGTTATTCATGAACCGAGAGGGGGCGAGGGAGATCAACGTGCGTTTTACAGTAATTTATTGCGGAATTCATTCGTCCCTCCCACGACGCGAACATATGTATATGCGGCAAGCAAGAGGGTTGCTGAAGCAGGGGGTGTTTAATGCGTTAATCGATAATGTCTTCAAGAGGGATTTTTTTAGCATTTACGGAGGGTGAAAGTTAGTCTTTAATCCTCCAGAGCCATCGTCAAAATCTGTAACATCAATTACTGACGCTGAATTTGTGAGACCCATTTAATTTATATTGACTCATTTAATTGACTAAAAGACATTAATTAATTTTAAGAATCAAAACATAATTAATATAAGAGAATGAATACTAAGTTTATTTTAATACTCTGTCGGCAACATGGAGTCTTTAAAAGCACTATCGATATTTTGATTATGAATTCTGATAGGCAAATTTATTTAAATCGCGTCCCAAATTTTGTCCCAAATTATAAGGACATGATTATGAATTAATCCTTTTTTAAGAAAATAATAAATGTAAAATGATAAGTAAAAATAATAAGTGTGAAATAAATTTTCAACACTATCGTGATTTTTTATTTAAAAACCCAGATATTATATTCATAATATATTAGGTGTTGGAATTAATTCGTAGCGTTTTACAAGTGATGGGAAGTACTTTCATTAATGTATTTTTTAATGCTCATGTGAAATAAATAACATTCTTTCATTAAAAACGCTACGAATTAATTCCAACACCTAATACATTTAGTGTGGAAAAGTATAATTTTAAAAAAAAATATGATCGCGTAATTTGATGTAATTTTTTATGTGATGTTATGTTATACATTAAGTATTATTATATTAGTTATTTAATATACTAATATTGTTCGTGTGTTTCATTAACAATTACAAAAAATTATTAGGTGTTGGAATTAATTCGTAGCGTTTTACAAGTGATGGGAAGTACTTTCATTAATGTATTTTTTAATGCTCATGTGAAATAAATAACATTCTTTCATTAAAAACGCTACGAATTAATTCCAACACCTAATATTTATTTAAATAAATATTGAATTTTTTTTAATTTTTTTTTTCTCTTCTTAAGAAATTGATTACCATAATGTAATTTCATTCTGTCATCTATATTAATTATAAATATTACAGGATGATCACGCGCATGAAAAAAAAATTAGAGATCCTCAAGTGACAGATGGAATACCATATGTTTGATCCGCCATATCTTTCAGGCTTGAGATAGAATATGCGTGAATATTTTATTTTATTTTATGCACAATCTATCTCATTCTATCTTGAACAAATCTTAAAAAATATGATAATCAAAACAAGCAGATTTGCTCGATAATCATCCGCGTCTCACATCTTGTAAACTCCATTGCTAATTATTTTCTATCTCGGTACGTTAAATTATTACAGAAAATTATGCTATTATATCGTCGTCACAAAGACATCGACATCGACATCGCCGATTCGTTCGTCTTAACTCCATTTAAAGTTCCAATATTACATCATCGCCACGCCGCGTTTCACCGCTGCCGCATGAAGGCGGCAATATAATCGAAATTTATCGTTTTTTGATGGAATTACATCCCGCCTTCGATAATTTCTTTCGAAGAAACTTCTCAGAGAGAAAGAGAGGACACATACGAGGCACTAAAGCCGATACGATACGTCGTAACTCGGCGAACACGATCATCCGCTGTCTTGATCATGTCCACAGACGTTTGCGACCACGTCGGGTTCACGGTGGCGTTGCAGCAGTTTTTCCTGTGGAAACTCTTCTTATGAAAGAAACCACAACAGAAAAGAAACTTTAATTCCGACACACACAACAGCAGATCGGAACAGCAAGGAAGCGGACTTGTTTCACATCATAGAATTAACTTTAATCTCTCGAGAGATTCACGACGAAAAGGACATTGTACCTTAAATATTTGAATACGTTTCGCTAAAATAAACTTCAATATACATATTTGAATAAGAGCATTTTTGAAAAAGAGCATCATTCTCAAGTATAATAAAAAGACGTTAAATTGAATGAGAGAGGGATTTTTTCCCTGAAAATTCTTGGCGATTATCGCGTAAAGACGTGCTTTAATGATAAATGGCGCAGCTTTAAAAAAAGATCATTAAAGTATTACATAAAATGAGTAATTTTGTTGAAATATTTAAAAATTTAGCTAGATACGGGTCTAAAAATAATTTTGTTGGATTAAAAATAATAATTATGTAGAAAACTTAAGCATGATAAGCAATACTGTAAAAAATTTTGATATTCCAGCAATTAACTTGAGCATCCTACATAATTATCTTGATAATTCAAAGTTATTTTTAATTATTTATCTAACTAAATTTTTAAATTGCAATTTCTGAATCATAAAAAGGCTTATGATTGAATTAACTTGTCCATTTCGTAGTTAAACGTTCTTACTCGAAACTGGATTGTCTACCATTATAACTTCGAGAGTTCTCAAAAAATCAAAATTTTCAGAAAATATTCTTATATTATTTGAAAAAATGTAAAGAAAGCAATCCAATTTTTTTACACTTCAAATCAGGCAGTTTAAATTCGTAAAGAAATAAAATACAATCTGATTTCTATGATATAAAAACTCGTTGTTGAAACTTTCATAAGTATGTATAAATTTTTTCAGATTTTTACAGTTCAATAATATAAAAATCTGCAGTAACATTCGAGAGTTCAGACTGCGAATGGAAAGTGAAAATTTCACATTGCGAACGGAGAATTAATCACGCGCATCGCATATGAGAATCAGCATTTAAACGTATGATATATGTATGATCTATATAATCAAAGAAAAGCCGGATGACGTCACGTGTCACACTAATATAATCGTTCTTTTCTCGTCTTGAATTGTAATGTAAGCAAAATAGCTTTCACGTTCTTTCGACATTCGTGATAATGTCGTTGGAACGGCGCATACACTCGCGTTTTTACACAGCAGCAGAGGATTCCTGAAATTCGAAGCGATCGATGAAATACGAGCTCAGTTAGCCGCTGTCACGAGTGCATTAATTTTATTTCTGCATAGATAGCAGCTCGTCCTGAGAATTTCGATATAACTGGATGGAACTCTGGCTCTCCTCCAGAGATTTCTGGAGAATTCCTAAGACATTCTAAAAATATTCTGTTCTATGATTGTAAATAAAAACATGACGTAATGAAAATCAATAACTTTTCTATTTCTATTAGAAAATCAATTTGATTTTATTTTTATGATATCTATGTATAAATATTAATACTCTAAAAAAATAGATATTAAGTACCAAAATAAAAGATATATGTTTAAATCCGCTTAAAGGATTTAATATGTGTAGAAGTTATTTTTATATCTGCTCCAAAAGACCGTTTTGGAGTTATATAGATATTTCAGCACTTTCAATAAATTTTACGTTCGATCATTCGAATAAAGTCCCAATCCATTCGATATATTACAATGATTGTTATTTATAGTTTATTATTTTTTCTGATATAAAATAAAAATCACGACTTTTAAAAATAAACAAATTTAGAAACAAATCTCTCTCTGATAATAATGGAAGCTGTAATTTAAAATTCCGATACACTTCACAATTTATATTTTTAGTAAACATCTTACAATTACTCGAAATTGTATCAGTTCTCATGCAGATGATTTAAAAAATATTTAACCAAAATATTTTTATGCCACATAAAAATATTAAATAGAGGTTATTAATGCTAAATACATGTTTATTAAATCATTGAAATGTCTTATATAAAAACAGTATTTTAAATTAGTAAAAAAAAAGAATAGACATTACAATTAATAGACATTACAAACGTTTTATAAACATTTATTAAATAGTTTAAGAAATATATCGAATGTTAGATGTTTATTTTTTAGTTTATATATGTTTATTATATTGAAAAAAATTTACTAAAACTTAATACATATTTTACTTAATACAATATTTTTTTAATAATATTAAATAAATATTATCTTACACAAAATAAATATGTACCAATTAAAAAAATAATAAAAAAACAAAATTAATGGTTTTATAAAATAAATATATGTTTACACATTTAATAAATATTTACTTACAATTAGAATTATTTAGAATAATATTTATTAAAATTTAGTATTTTTTTCAATGTACGTTTTGTACTTTGAACGTTATACATTGCTTGAATTATAATCCATCAAGATAATAATCCTTCTCCTCCTTCCTATAATAATCCTTCAAGAACAGGAGTCACATATGTGCTACTGATTTATTCAATATTTACTCGTCTTGTTTCTAGAGAGATCAAATTCTAGAAGAATAACAAGCATTGATTGCATAAGATTATTGTCGATAATGTTTAATTATAACAATTAATATCATACAAACATGCAAACATATGTATATGAAACTAAATATAAATCGAATGCAATTTACACTACTACACAGCTTATTTTGTTACTTTCGGGATACTCTCGATGGAAGAGTACTCTGATAACGATTAATATACCATCAAGACAAGTGACATTTTACTTATTGCATATAAATTTTAATTAACCACCTGTAGCTCGTACCATCGAGCGATAAATAATGTTTACCGTTAATTCAGCAAATTTTACATTTCATTTAAACCCCTATTTATTTTAACTCTCCCCCACTCGTTCCGCTTCCCCGCTGATTTCAGCAGTATATTTTCATTTTCCACATCAGCGCCAATGTATTATATCTCGAGATCAATTTTCACACGTACATTGTACACATGTAAATGGCGTATTTCAGTGAAAAAGCGATAGATATCACGTGTCACGTTATCTGCGTATTGATGAACGTTTCTGAAAGAAGCTCGGTCGTACTTCTGTGGAGATCAATCGTGTAACTTTTTCCCTGGGGTGGAAACGTGAAAAATGAATATTTTGTGTGTATATATATATATACATATATACATACTCTTTAAAACTTTTAGAATGAATTTTACTCTGAAGAGTGAAATCTTATTTTTAAAGATTGAAAATAACTTTTTCAAGACTGATTCAATTTTTACTCTTTAGAATGAGATTTTATTCCAAAAATTCAGATAATACATAAAAATTTTCATTTTTGATGTCTTCGCGTTAAAGGAAAAATTACACGATTAACCACATTGGGTACTTTGATCGAGCAGCGTGTTTACTTCCAACGACACGACAGTGACTAAACACAGCGTCCGTTTTCCGTTTAACGTGACACGAGTAACATTTCGGCAAGTCCTCCTTACAAGCGTTAATTGATAAGGGTCGCGACTGAAGTTGGGAACATCTATCCCGCCCGAAAGTATCCACTCGTCGAGTAGATGAGTCAATAAGTTAAACCCATGGGGACGATTAAACATCTGTTTCTGGGCACGACCTATTTTGAATCGATTCAACGCATCCGAATGATGGAAACCCTCGAGTTCTTATAGCATTAATGAAATTGATAATTCTGTCATCAATAATGAATCTCTTCTATAAATTCTTAATACTACGTCTCTTTACGATATTAAGTAACAAGGATTATTAATTCTTGCGACGATAATAGATTATGTTGTATACATTATTCACCAATCATCTTGTCAACACATTCACAAGATTAACTAGTTATTCAATATATCTCAGATCGGATTTCTTTTAATCACAGCGAGTGAAATTAATTTTGTCAGTGTTGCAATAAAAATTTGCAAAAAGATTTGATTTTATTTGAATCTAAAATTTAATTTTTAGATTAAATTTTTTAGAGTACTGAACCAATTTGAAAACATTAATATTAATTATTAATTTAATTTCCCAATTAAATTTATATTGTATTTTTTTTCAACGCAATGTCTAATGATTGATCTATATAGAGGAACTTTAAATTATACATATATATATATATATATATATATATATACACGTAATGGATTATATATTAATTTGTTGTATATTAATTTGATTTATATAATTATATGATTTAATATATAAATAAAAGTGAAAATATTTTTAAAAAATTGATATTTTTGGAATTATTTATTCAAATATTCTCATATTCATAACATTGAAATTTTTTAAACAATAATTGTTCAGATATAATAACAATTATTAGATCCAAAAAATACTTCTTAAAATTAAAATAACTTTTTCAATATATTTTTATGGACATTTGAATGAGTAAAAATGTCATTTTTTTGTGTTTTCAAATTTTTTCCTAGAGTGTGTATGTATATATTATATATATATATATAAAGTAAGTTCCAAAAGTTTCCGGTCAATATGTATAATTTTAAAATAATTTTTGTCAGTCTTTTTTTCAGTTTATATTAATCTAAGTTAATGAAATATTAGAATATATCAGATACTTGTATTAGATCTTTATTTGTTATGATTTTTTATTTGAGTATTATATAATAAAATTACTCTGTTACTTTAGCAATAAGTAATTTTATTATATCGTACACAGAGAAAAAAAATTTGTTCAACTATAAACTGAATACATTTAGTTGTTTGCAGATTTGATTAATTCAATAAATTTTATTTAATTGAATTTAACCTTAATCTATTTAATATTGAAGTTTGTTAAGTATACTGCAGTTAAATTCAATTAAATAAAATTTGTTGAATTAACTAAATCTACAAACAATCAAACATGTTTAATTCGTTGAATAAATTTTTTTTCTCGGTGTATAAAATATATATACATATATGCACACCTACATATTAACTACAATACACCTAAGTGAAATCGAAATGCCTCGATTCGCTATTTAAACTAATCGCAAATCTATATAACGCAACTGCGCTTTCTCTCTTACTTTCGTTGAAGCGACCGGTGAAAGCGCGCCAAGTTAAAAAAGCCGAGGCCCTGCAACCCGCTGTGTCAATCCACCGCAGAAATCCGCGGGCACGTCGAGCTACGAAGAGAGTTCGCGGTCCGCGAGACAAGCTCGCTTCAAAACGCTCATCGTCGTGCAGTCACAATTGCGAGTTTCCCGCCGGCGAAGCAAGGCCGCGAAGCCCTATGATCAACGATGCGACGCGACGGTTCCCAGATTCAGCTGGTAGAGCGAAATCGATCACGGAACTCAAATCGACGACAGTTCGTCGCAACGCATGTCGATCGCAATATCGGCGACACTCACATTTCTCCTTGCAGACTTCTCCTTTTGATTCCTTTTCGTCGCGAATTCAGCGGATTCATTCACGAGCCACTGATTATCACAGAAGACTCTCGTTAATTCTCGATTTTATAACGCACGATTAAATTATCGAATTAAATCATCGAACTTACTAGATCTGTTTTTCATTCTAGTTAAAAAATTAACCAGAATCCATTATAATTCTTTTTCGTCAAATATCAAACGTACATATCTGTCTGATTTTAAGTTTTAAAATTATACACTAGTTAAGCCACTGCAGAAAACAGATACACTCACGGCACTCGCGGATCGATGACGCGCTCGATGCATCGTTCTTAGCGCCGAGCGCGCTAATCGTCCCGTCACTTGACACGAACATTCGTCGACGCAAAACCTTCCAATTCCAGAAACAATCAGATGCCGTGCGATAACGATAATTCACTGTTCATTCGCGGATCACAAATTCTGCGCAACGTCAATTCGCGCGAAAGGCTCTCTCGCACTTACTCGATCGTCGCGCGCGTTCACCAAAATCTTCTCTTTCTTGTTTTCTTCTTCCTTTTATTTCACATAATCGCGCGAACGGACGAGCAAAAGTGCACGACCGAAAAACCGCACCGCACCGCGCTAACAACCGATCGCATATGCGAACGCGATAGTCGTAGAGGAACGATGGGCGAGGGGGAAGCGTGCAGGAGTGCGGGGATGATTGAGCCACGCCGAGTGCAACGTGACCGCCGATCCATGGCAGATCCAATTGGCCGCGCGGATCACGTGGTACAGCGGTCACGTTGCAGCCGCCGTGGCCGTCGCTGTCGTGAGTGCACCTCTCGCTCTCGCTTTTCTACGTCGATCTGCCCCGAGGTCGTTTGTTTCTAACACCTCGCGAGATCTCCGAGTTCTTTCTGAATCCGGAAGATTTCTTTTCGCAAGCTACTCAAAATCTCACCGACAGAGAGAGAGAGAGAGAGAGAGAGAGAGAGAGAGAGATAAATAGATATCTTTATTTAACTCGTGCTCTGGATAAGTTCTTTCAAGCGCTAAAATATTTAACATTACAATAAATGTATATAAAGCTGTAAAATAAAATATTACGAACAAATTAAGAAAAAAATATATATGCACGATAGTAAAAAATATGCAAAAAAAATAATACAAAAATAAATACAAAAAATCTAAGCAAGTGTTATGTATAATTAATTATGAGACTTTTTCTATCAAAAAATCATATAGCCTATATTTAAAATTATTGAGATTAGTAATGAGAGAGAGAGAGAGAGAGAGACGGGGGGGGGGGAAGGGAGAGAGGGATTAAAAACAAACAGTAGTAATTTTAATATTCGAAATAAGTATTTAATAAATTATTTTCCACTGCTAAATTTCTATAAAAAACATTTACAAATTCTTTCCTCTGAGTTTTTAAATGAATCTCTTAAGGATTTAGAAGCATTATAATTACTCATATAATTTTTTATTCTATTGTTTTTATTGCTTTTGTAAGAAACCTCGTTAGTACATACCTTTTATATATTTAGTTTTAGGGAGTGACTAAGTTATTTGAAGAACTGCAGGTCGAACGAGCGTTAATAAAAAAGTTCTGTGACTTATTTAAAATTTTAACAGGAGTTCATAACGTTGAATTGAAAAGTTTCTAAGGAGAAATCGAATCTAGATTATCGGAGAAAATTAGTCCTTATGGTATTTTTCAATAATTATTTTTAGACAACTTTTTCTAACAATTTTTTAATAAAGTATTTTTAATGTAAATAAGATAATTTATGTATATTTCAGAAATCGGTTAATGTGAATTATTTAACAATTTTACTTTTGTAAAGTGAAATAGAATTTAAAATGAAATTAAAAATTATGATGACATCAAATGGCTCCACAGAGTGATTATATTAAAAATCACTTTTCAATCATGATTCATTTTAACGTCATTTGATGTTATCGTGACATATTCTGCTTGGAAGTCTTTTCAATATGTTACGCATTTAGTCGATAAATTGTTTTTTTGATCTGTTTATATGTATACATCTTATATTTTGCATAACCATTTGATATCGATTTAAAGCGTCGAACTGTGGAGGACGAGGTTACTATTGATCTGCAAAACTCGGCTTGCGTAACGAACTTGTGTTTGCCCGATTAAAATAAGCTTCATGTGTTAAATGAAACATATGTATAACTATTTGTCACAGAGAGGGCCCATCGATTCGGGACAATAGACAGAATTTATCGCTTGATCGCATGTGAAAATTCAGTTGAGAGACGCCTTTTAATTAATTACAGGCGTAACATAATAGCGACATATTATGCATTCCTCCGAATTACGATTTAATTAAATCGCGTTAATTACTATAAACAGATTGACTTACATGAGAAAAAAGATATGTGGCAAATAGTGTTGGTACAAATCTGTAATCCGAGAAAATCATGTTGTTTTTTCTTAATAAAGCGATCATTACATACACAAGGGAGAAAGATGTCGTGTTTTTTAATAAACGATTATGAAAATCACCTCAGTGAACAAGTTTGCAAAACGAAAGGTGGTCACTTTGTAAGGGTCTGATGGGACAGTGAGTCTCACGATGTAATTCATGCGATAATCACCAGGTCCATTCAAGAGAGTCATAATCGACTTGCGGGCAACAATAGGATTGTGCAATATTATTTCACCACGATTCCGCATAACCTCGGAGCAAAAGTAACAGGGCGAGACTAAATTCGTGGAGAAAACAGGGTGGTTGGAAAATGTTCGCAGCGCGCAAGAATATCGGCTCGCTATTTTCACGACGATGACGCAACGAGTGTTAGTGCAAACTGTCGCAATTGTTGCTCGTCAGCAATTACGCGCAAGCCGCATTTACCTGCATTACCGTTTCCTTTCAGCAGTACTGCTTCGTGAATTTCTCTTCATTTTTTTTTAACTTTACATTACTCGTTGGTTTTTTTTTTTTAATGTAATTACTCGCTCAGAATTTTTTAACACTCTAATATTTTTCATTGTTCTCTTTGATAATTTATAATTAAATAAAGATTGATAATATTTTATATTTTAGATAAATCTTAATGCAACTTTTTTTCAATTGTGAAATAATTTGCATTAAATATAATAACGTACGTGACATTTATACACTGTTACATTCATAATATCATATTATAGATCAATCTGAGTTATTTTTAATCATTTTTATAGATCGTCTCTGCTCTTAGTCTACATGTTAATTTAACTAAAATAATGGAGTTAAACAGTTTAACTCAAGAAAATGTATTAAATTTGACTCAAATTTAGTTTATTATTTACTAAGTGCATACGTTAATATGGACGTTATTTACTTTGAAACTAACTACAGAAATAGATAATTAATTTAGCATTTTGACACACATAAAAGCTAAAGATAAACAAAATGTTACTTAACTCAAGGAATTGGATTATCATTGCGCCTTTGATGTTTAATAGTGAGTATGTGTGTATATTTAGTGAATTTATAAGACTGAGATATCCTGAACACTCCGTGCGAGTTATGAAGAATTATAATCGCAGATAAGAAAACAATTATCATTTGCATTTATGAATCAATCATATAGCTGCTTTACTTTCCTCATTCATGCATACGTACACACACTTTATTTTTTATTTAATCTTTTAGATAAATATTGTATATGATAGTCAATCATCGAAGTCCTCAAAAATAAAGGAATTAATGAAAAAAAATCATATAGCTGTTTTTCAATGTAAAATGATCATATGTCACATTTTACAAATTAGTTATAAGAATGTAACTCTCGTTCTTAAAAGATTACTAGTAATAAATGATAAAATCTCAAGTCAGAAAATATTAAAAATGTAAATTGTAAAGTATGATATATGATCTTAAATTATAAAATTTCTATTATTGAATCTGTTTGTTTTTAAAAATTGTGGTTTCTATTTTATATTAGAAAAAAAATAATAAATTGTAAATGATGCATATTGATTAATTACATTAATTATATTATTAATATATTTCAATATTACACATAATTTAATATTTTTCGTACAAAAATACTACAGATATAATTTATTTTTTAGAATCCTGCAATTTGTGATACTGCAAAATTTTATTCTCTATTATTTTTTTATCAAATAATGTATTTTCTGTTCTTATCAGTTCTAATGAGAAATATTATCAAAAGAAACAAAGTACTGTACTCTGAAAATATAATATACAGTGCCGCATTCCTTAATTAAATTCCTTGCATAACTTTTAGTCTCTCGTCATTCTTATCTTGTGTATCACAAATAGACGAAGAATCTTTGCTCATTGTGACGACGTAATCATTATAACTCGCTATTATCGCATTACATAGGAAAGGATATTCACCTCCGCAATCTTTGACTAAATTAAATTATCAGGAAATGCATAATGATATTTTGCCACATCTAAAAAGTGAAATTATAATTAAATTATAAATTAAAATGTAGATATATCACAAAGTCATCGTCTTATTTTCGCGAAGATTATATTGTTAGATTATTATTGTTTGGATTAATATTATTAGATTACATTAAAAAAGAAAATTAAAATGTAAAAAATGATTAAAAAAGAAAATTGTATTTACATCTGTTTTTTTTTGCACTTTTCTGATTATAATTTTTTTTAATTATTTAGGAAAGAAAAATTTAGCAGAAAGAACTAACCGTTTTTACTTTATAATAAATTTTGATAATTGTGTACTTATTAAAATGCTTTTCGTATAAAGGCAGAGGATCTTTTCACTGCAAATAAACGATGGATACTCTTAGAATAGTTACAGTCATTTATTCGTTTTCACATATAAAACGTATCAAGAGAAAAACGGCCCATTATTTCTCGAAGGCTTCCGTTACTCTTGCTACATCTTCTATTGCGCAAAACCATATGACATAATATAAAAATGACTCTCCCTAAAAATTCATAATGAGTGTTTCCGTTTGTTTATTCGGAATTATAGATTACGCTCGCTTTAATCTCTTTTTCTCTTTCTCGATGCCCTACTTATTTGTTATCAATACGTAATAGTTGACATTATTCTGTCGCTCTATAACTAAATATCTTTTCTATACATTCTCTATGATTTATTTCATAAATTCCATGCGCTTTTTTTACACTATATATTGTTGTTAGATTATTTCATATAATGTAGTCGTGCGATTCTCTAACGATATTAACCGATTTTATTTTATCTCCTCGCGATTACTTATTACACAAATTATTTATCAAACGTATTCACGATACACGAGTGCCGTATATATATTCTCATATTTAAAATTCACATAAAGAGAAAACAAGACAGTTGAAAGACTATTCCTGCGGCATGCAGAAGACAACAAACATTTCGTGCATTATTTTAATGGCAAATATATACGTTGCGTTTAAATAAAATCAGAATAGAAAAAAGTATGGAAGGTTAGTAGCAGGAATAATAAAAACATCCTTCTTTTCACCACAATCGTTTCGTACCTTTTGTTAGCTCCCGTTTATCCCGCACTAACGAGGAAACTTTCGGAAGCCTCTTTGAATTTAAAAAATTTCAGATTTGTCATAGAATAGCTCGGAATGAAAGATCGACTCTTTTATTTTTTTCTAGATGCTCTAGCAGAAAAAATACCCAGCTCATTAAAATTGTTTCCGACATAGGTATCCGAATGTCTCCCCTTTTTCATTTATCCTTTCCATGCTTCTATATGAATACCTTCTACTTAATATGGACATTAAAAAAAAACCTTCTGGATTTAAAACGTTTGGCAAAGAATCTTTCTCTTCTGTCGCGACACTAAGGGAGGGGATAATAGCTGCGTTGCACCAAGAGTATTTTCGTTTTAATTTACCGTAAGAATAATGATTTTGTCGCTTACAACATGATGTAGTGAACAGATTATTTCAACAGAGAGTTTTTTTTTAATAAAGTCAATATTATCCCTAAATATAAATATTGACGAGAAAAAAATTGCGCTAGCCCCCAGAATGCATTAAATTATAGATCTGTTTCTCTTTCTAGCTAAACTTCTTGCACATTCATCTTTTCTATTTTTCTCTCCAATACGAAAAGAAAAGAGAAACGACAAATCGACAAGAAGTTTAATTAGAGAGAACAGGTTTTATGATTCATCCATTGGAAGTACTCATTATTAATTATTATAAAATGTGAGCGCATCTGCGACAGCTTTTTACATAAAATACTATAGTAATAACCACTATATAATAAAGACCTAAGGACGAATTTTGAATAAAATACTGTATCACAAGTGATAGGAGTGCGAAAGACGTGGACGCGAACTTATTCCCATAAAAAATTTGTTTAAAGAAATACGTGCAAAATATGAATGTGTATCAGTGTCTATAAAGGCGAGAGAGAATTCGAGCTTACCAAAAATGGAGCTGTAAACTGCGAAAAAACTATAGCTCACAAAGTATGTTTCTTGACAATTAGCTTCTACGCCCATCGAGTTAAGTCCGCCACATGATCACGCAAAGTGTATAAATCTTCTCTTAATATAACGTTTAATTTATAACAATTAATTCGATTGCAGTATGATAATCAAGGCCGTCGAGGCTGATAGACGATTACCGATAATCAAGTGGATCTTATCAAACATATTCTCTAAATTCTTTGAAATGAAATCTCACTCTAAAGAGTGAAAATTGAGCTTGAAAAAGCGTGGCTCAAATTCTTTAAGAGTGAGATTTCTCTTCAGAGTGAAATTCACTCTAAAAGTTTTAGAGAATATAGACCGGTATATTCCCAATTTGTTTTTATTTTAAGATCATCTTAAGTAATATCGTCTTAAGGTGCTAATATGCCTCATGCTTGGCTTGTAACATCTTAAGACTTAAGACACTCTTATTAAATAATAAGACGCTCTTGAATATCGGCTCAGTAATCTTTCTTTCAACGCAATATACACGATTATTCATTATAATTTGTCTTACCGATAGTACCGGTGTATAAATGTGACATAATAAACTTTACATATTAAGATGATCCTTCCCGTGAACGTTAGTTTTAATTGAGTTTTAAATGATACTTTTGTCTCTTTCTATTTTCATGCATAAAAAGAAGTATAAGCTCGATTAATCCTCTTTTGATTTTGACTAATTTTCACGGGAACGGCATATAGAAATATAAATATACATATTTCGCAATAAAGCAATTCTCTGTCGAAAGTTTCTGCTAGAAATCGCATAACAAGCGACACGCCACGCGATGATTATCACTACATGATTTAGCGCTCTGCTGAAAGCGAAGGAACCAAAGACCAGCTGTCAGCACATAATCGAACTTTCAAAAAAGCTAATTAACTTGCGTATACCTAATATTGTAGGATTGCTGTAATGAGTAGCCACTTAAATCTATTTAAATGGACAAGCTCTCTTAAAAAATAAGTGTAATCACTGTACAAAACTACAGTTTCCATCTAGCACATCTCTCGCCATCAGAACGTGCACTTGATACCTTTAGTCTCCAAAAATGTAACAACGTCTCGCTCAAATATTGTCACTCTTCGTTTTGATTAATGCGATATTTTACTCTTTCAAAGACTAATAAAAATATAGATACGAGGTGTCCCGAAGAAACTCCAACCTTAATCTTAAAAAATTCTTCTCACTGAAAAAAATCTGCCTGTCAAGATTTGTTAAAATTTAGGCCGGGCGTTTCAGGGCACGCTGTACGTGAGCACAAGCCGCGTTTCTCATCATTATTTTAAAAAACGCACACAATCGATGTATTAGGAACAAAAACGGCACGTTCCATCGTATGAACACCGAAAACGATGTTACAATAATCTGAAGATCCAAACCGTTTCCGTACATACTCTCGCAATGTATCCAGGTACATATTCGATACGACGCAAATGATTTGTTAAAAAATACACAAGACACTATACAAAAGTTGCGGCTTTTCTTTCGAATCTTCTTTCGTCAAACGTATGGCTTATAGGAACATCCAATTGTGGAGGGTTCTCACGCGCCGCGACATGATTATCGCGTGCGAGTCTCGTCTTCACGTGCATCAACCGTGATTTTTATGCGTTTTGGCCTGCCACGTTTTCCCTTAGTCGCGGTACTGACAGCCGAATTTCGTTTTACCGTCTTGCGCGCACCGCTCGTCCTACGGACAGTCCTCGCCGTGTTGATTTCACGCGCGTTCACGTTGACGCTTCTCTCACTCTCGATGGCCCTTCTCGAGCGTCGGGTACGTCCGGCTATTTGCTCCATTTCGTCGTACTCGGCCTGCAAACGACGTGCCAGTTCGAAATCCGCCCGCTCTTGCAACAGCATTCGCTCGATTCGCTGCTGTTCCTCGATCAATTCCTCATCCGAGAGCTTGTCCATGGGACGTTCGCTTTCCGAGACACATTCTATTTCGTCGCAAGACTCCGGCGGCGAGTCGTAATTGAACTTACTATTATTCTTGTTACACGCACCGTCCGATTCACCTGCCATGGAGGAGGTCCTCGTTGAGTTACGCGTGGACTTCCTTTTGCTCATTTTTCGCCGTTTCGTCCTCCCCGTGAAATTTTCGTCGGTCTCCGTACTATCTTGAGATGTCGAGAACGTGACTTGGTTCTCGTCTATCCTCTCAGGTAAGGCTTTCTTCTTCGTTGCTATTCTGCTTCTTTTAGACGCAGTAGATTCCATTTCTGACTCCGACATCTTTATGTCTATGTTTTCTTTTCTCCTTTTAATTCGTTCGGCTATATTTTCGACGGCTACATTATCATCGTCATCCCGCTTGTCATCTTGCGAACTTGTTTTATTAAATGTCGGATTGGAGCTCGTTGGATCGTCCTCCTCTTCGTCTATCACATTCACAGTAAGTCTGCTTTCTTTCCTGCTGCTCCGCAAATTTTTATACCGATTAGATTTCGTTACCATACCATTTTGCATGATCGGTCTCCAGGACTTGCGTGTTTTCCTCGCGTCCCATTCCTCATCATCTGACTTCTTGCTCACTTTAGTACCATTAATTATTTTATTTGCATTCTTCGTATAATTTTTATTGCTATCAAACGACGATTCGGGTATAAAATCAAGTCGACGGATAGCATCATTTGTCTGAGGCTTCGTCATTGACTTATTCGAAATTGTTTGGGAATGAACGAATGACGTCGATGGTTTCTGATCAATCGATGTCCTCGACGTATTATCCTTCAGATTGTGCACTGCGTGTTTCTCCTTTACGTCCTGTTTTATTTTACCTGTAACGACATCTTATAATTAAATAAAAAAAAAAATTTTTAATTACAGTTTTAATTAAGAATTTAATTAATCGTACATAACATATCTATAACAGGTCTGTTCTTTAACAGACTAAATTGTTGACTAAATTATGTACTTGTACTTAAAATGAAACAGATATATATTTGAAGTTTAATGGAAGCGAGATAGAAAATTTGTATGCAAACATTCAAAATTTACCTCTGAAGGCGCTCCAAGAGCATCCAATACGTTTCACGTGTGTCAACGATGGAGCTGTTGGCTCTGCGTTAGATACTTTCTTTAAAATAGGGATCACCCTAATCAACTTCGGATCAATCTGTTTTCCATCTGAGAACAGATACAACATAAATATTAGGTTTCTTTTACAAATAATCAAATATTATCTCCTCTCTTTCTTTCTGATAAATATATACCTGAAGAAATTTGCAATTTCGTCCTTGGCGCTGTCTTAATCGGTTTGAAATGATGGATTTCTTGATTTATACTATCGTGACTGCCAGAGCTTTCGGCGCTACCTATCCTCTCGTCATCGTCGGTCAGCGTCATGCACACCTCTATCCCGAGACTCTTCTTCTTGTTGTTCACTACATCGCTCGGTATTCGTAACTCTTCCTTAGTCTCTATCGCGTAAGCCCTGGACGTGGAGCATCCGGGATCAGTGGAATAATTTGAAGTGCTAGGTTGGGTAAACTTTGATACTGTTTGATGTTTCTTCGCAACAGCGTTATAAACGGGTAATTGTTTCTGGCAACAATATGTAGGCGGATTTTTATGCGTGCTGGACACGTTTATTTCCTTAGAGCCGCATACATTGGAATACATTCCCATCTTGGATAACAATGCATTCATTTGTCTTGTTTTTGAGTTGTCCTTGACAGACTCAGGAAGACCCATATGCCTGCCTTCTAAGCATGCAGTTTCGGTTCGTGGTGCTTCGGTATTATTTACACGTATAGCTGTATAGTTAAACTTGGACTCGTTAAAAACATAACTCGGCACTGATGTGGTCAAGCATTCGTTATAACATTTTGTAGCTTCCTTCTGTTGCTGCTTTGCCAGACTCTTAGCTAGCAATTGATCCTGCGCCAACTGTGCCAACAGCAGCTGATCCTCTGCCTGAATCTTCTGAATCAATGCTTCACTGGCCATTTGTTCAGCTTGCCTCTCACGACGCATCTCTTCCTGGGCCATTTGAAGTTGAGCCTTGTATTCCCGGTGTATCTCTCCAGCTGCACTGAGTATTCTATTTGCCGCATAATCTGTCCACAAGAAAAATACTTTTCTGTATCTTTTAGTATCTTGACAAAATTATCATGTTCAATACACAAAGTACTTCTATTTTGCATATTGAATACTATGTATTCTTCAATTACAATCATTTTATATCAATAATTTAAGCAAGATAACGTTTTAATAACGTTTTTTATTGATGTTAAAGATGTTGTCAAGACAATATTAAGACATCATTTGATATCACCTGCTATTTGGAAAATTTAACAGCTAAGAAATAATCACAGCTACCAACGCTATTAACCTTTAAATAGATAGATGGTTTAAAGATACCTAAGTTGATAGATAGGGGATGCTTGGAATACTCCAAAAAAAAATCTTTGTAGTTATATTCCTTTATCAGTAGTATATCATGTTATAGTTAAATTTACATTAATCATTCCCTTATGAGAGAGAAGAACGTAAACATAATAAAATTTAAGACTTCTAGGCATCTAAGTCATATTTTTTAGTTTCCTTTTCTAGAACAAAGTTTTTAAGAAAACTATACCTAGGATGACCAACCCCACAAAAAGTTAAACTAAAAATCTTTGAAGAAGACAATGATACTGTGAAATGAAGAAACGACTACATCAAAATTACATAAGCCATAAAAGCATCTTTAAGAAGCATGCGAAATGTCATTCAATAAAATAAGTAAACACAATCGCTTAGGTTATGTTACATTTGTTTATTGCTGACATACATGAGTGTATGCGTATGTATGTACGTGCGCGCGCGGATACGTGCATGTATGTGATGCATATATATATATACATGTATGTGTATATATATATATATATATATATATATATACATACACACACACTCACCAGCGTCCAAGCCGAGATCCCCCTCCTCGCCATTGTGCTTGTTCTCGACCTCCTTCGGGAACTTGGACCTAATCAGCTGCCAAAGGCCGTGGTTCACCAAAGTCTCAGACTTGGTGGCGGTGCGCAGCCAGGAACCCACCCGGACCCGGCAAAGTGGGCAGGTCAGGCTGTTGTGCTCGAATGTACCCTGCAGGCAGCGTAGACAGAGGTTATGTGTGCACGGCAGCGTCACTGGTTCGATCAGAATGCCGCGACATATCGGGCACGTTAAATCGCGCAGATGCACATCCGCGGTAGTACGCGACACTGTGAGATCCAGCAGCTTCGATGTACGTTTCAAATACATTTTCCCATCTTCCTGCGACCACTGACTCTGACGGCTACGACGGTCAACGTAAACGACAGCTAGATAAATTGCTGGATTTGCACTGATTTGCACTGCAACACCATTTACACTGCGCTTGACCGACTACACCAGCGCCCGCAGTCAGAACTGTCAGGAGTATCATCTGCCGATCATCATTTTGAGTCAATAGTGTTCCTTCCTGTCCATCAAACTCGATTAAAAACAAAAACTATAAAATTTTAGAACTGAGATATCTATTAAAATTGTTAAATGTTCAATTAAAAAAAATTGTATGCAGTATTTTTTCTTTTTTTATATCGTTGCATAAAAATATTAATGAAATTACTTATTCTTTAAAAATAGATGTACACATAAAATTGGATATCTCTAATTGATATATTTTTTATTTATGATACACGTGACAATATATATTTAAAAAAATCAAGATTCTTCTTTTTAGTCTACAGTTTCGTCAGAGACGTGATGATCACTTCTGCATAAATCACGAAAAAAAAGATTAACAAGTATATAAAAAGAAATACACAATATGAATCTTATTCAATACAATTATTATTTAACAAGATAGCCAATAAATTAATTTTTAAACAATCATTACATCTCTGGAAAAAATAAATCATAAATGCAAATAAAAAATTGACAATTGATTGTACGACTAAACATAGAATTAAGATTATAAATTCGACAATATAAAGTTCGCAGAACAGTGAAAACACCTACAAAAAATGATCTCTCAAAACTTTATTTCCTTTTTTCCTTTTATCAACGGTTCGTTTTCCTTGGAATAGCAATTTTGAAGAAATTTAACTATTCGCAAAGCAATATAATAACGAAACACTTTCCATATAGATTCACTTTCGATATAAATACATGTATTAAAAAATAGTAAAACTTATATAAGTATAACAATATTGTAATTGCATAAGATATGTATATTTTTACGTGACATGATTATTATAACACATTTATGGTCCAGAGTATTATTTCGTGCACATTATACCTATTATATATTTTTTTGTCTTGTAACTTAATGCTAGCACAATGCGTTTGTCTCTAATCTACTCGAATATTTTATTCCAAAAACAATTCAAGATAATAAACAAGATCGATTCAAGCTTATGTCTGGTTCTGGAACTCAATTTTTGTTCAATCTCTTCTCAATCTGAATCAGTCAGACAGTGGAGAAGGAAAGATTGAAGATTTGGAAAATTAAATGGTCTTATTCTAACTAACTTTAAAAATTCATCGAAAGAAATTGCGCAAAAAAAATTCATAGAATTTTAAATAACAGTAAACAGCGATAAATTATATAAATTTCTCTAGAAAATGTACGACGCGCATAAAAGGACAACGTACCAAAATGCGCAATTAATATTCTGTGATTCTATATGAATGCAATATTTAGTTGTACAATTTATATGAATGCGATAAAATGATTTAAAAAATTGAGATTTGTAGTTAAAAACACATCCAATGGCGCAGTGCCTATCTCTGCCCAAAATGATGTATCTCTTTCATAAAATATTTTAAATCCGATTTTTTCATCTCTGTTAAATACAAAATTAAGTATCGAATACTTCATTATTCTGCTGTCGCGATTCTTAATCAGTAACATTATGGAAGTTTCGTATTTTTACATTAAGAAGAATACATTTTTGTACATCTTAGATTGCGGTCTTGGCTCTTCAAACCTTACAAAGCATATACTTTGAAAGCACTGCGTATGCAAACATTAATGTAGCTGGATCAACTTCGATCACTTGACGTTTCCACTAATTCTTATTATGGTTATTATTAGTATATATACTGGTCATTAATACGTCATCGTTTTCGCCTACTTTCGCATCAATTGTTTCGAGCTATGTTCAAATTCCCAAACGAGTGCCACTCAGATATCATTTTAGCCTTATTGTCCACTAAATATTAAACAAGAATTACACGATACTTGGGGAGTACTCAGATGAGTATCTGAACACATCCTCGGAAGATGGATTCAGTTGACTGGAGCATTTCAACATATTTAGCGGGGAAATTACATAAGAGATTGCTATAGCATGTGGAACAATAATATATTGGTAATCCAAGCGTAGCATTTGGAGCATAGCGTTTAAAGCATTTGGAAGAAGCAAGTAGACCGCAGCCTTAATCAAACATTTTAACATGTTCGTGATATACAGACGAATAAAATCGAACATCCAATCAGCCTTGTAGGGATGATTTCTCCAATTTATTGAGCGTCTATTTTGCTTTGGCTGAAGGACGATTTCTCAGATTCTTCTTCGTTGCTTGATCAACTTCTGGGAGATCGTCGTCTTCGGACAAGGCTGATTTCTTGCCTGCAAAGATACAATATGCATGCATTTTACTTCAATGAAATAAATTTTGACGTAGATAATAAAAATAAAATCAATAATAATAAAATATATAATAAAATAAATGAAGAACTTTACGGATTTTCACCTTCTCGTTTCTTCGGCTTCTGCTTCGGCTTCGTCTTCACGACAACAGGCGTAGCGTTCTCGCGTGCATACTTGATTTGCTTCATAATAAAGAAATATAGAAGGTAGCCTTGGAAGAGCGAGACAATAATTGCTACCGAGAATTGTACAACAGGAGTATTAAAATTGCCGGCAACATAGTCAAGTTTAAACTCCTGTTTCCTCAAACCATACAGAAACACTACACACGTAAGCGCGATAGTCGTAATACGTGCGAACACGTAAGTTGCATTGGCAACCAGGAATGATACTATAAAATAAATAAACGGCGACAAATATATTAATTATTATGTATAGTAATGACAATTATTATGTATAGTAATTCAATGAAAGCAACTTACATTTAGCTCTCTTTTCTTTTTGACTAATAAAGTGAACCAGTCTGGCTGCATGTAACAAAGCATCTCCCACATAATGGAAAGTTAATAAGATTAGGGCAAGATGTTGGAAGCTGAGGAGAATAACAAATATATATATATATATATATATATATTTTAATACAAATTTTGCGAAAATATAAAATAAAGTAAATCTATATATTATAATATTACTTGAAAAAATAAGCTGCGAATGTAAAGATTAATCCAACAGTTGCATGGACGACACGTTGCAAAATGTCTTCTTTTTTAGTTCGTTGAAAATAGAGCTCGGGATAGCAATGCAACCAATAAGAAAGCTGGGCAATGAAAAATAGTTTTAGGGAAGCGGACATCGGCGCTGGGTATTCTTCCCACAATGTCCATATGTTCAAAAGTATATTCTCTCTAAAAGAAAAAGAAACGTTATTCTATTGATACTTTCTCTTATATCTCTTTTTAGTATTATTTATTAAAATCTGTATCACCTGATTATAATATCAATGGCCCACAATGCAGATAATGCATAAAATACTATTAATTGACTGGACGCATTAAATTTAGAAAGCTTAACTTTGCTGAGATGAAGTCGTTTGGAAATTTTCTGTCGACAAAATTGATCAGTGAAAGAGTTTAAATATATTCTTACAGCTAGACAATATTTTATCATCAGAAAGATATACTTACATCAAATATATATTCCTGAAGTACAGCATGCATTATGATGGTTATCAAGAAGTAAAAAAACACTGCACATGCATCTTTCCATCCTGTAGTATACTTCACCACTGCTGTCGGATCCTCGGTAGTATTGGTCACATTATGATGAATAGCAATAAACATGTAGGCCCATGGCGATGTAACCTGATATAGAAAATAATTTTGAATTTAATTCAATTTTAATTTAATAGGCTACATTAAAGTAGCCTCAAAAAATCCACAATGTAACTCTCAACAGTATAATTAGATTAATTAAATTTTGACGAAATAAATTTTAACATTTCAATAAATACTTTTCTCCTTCTTTTCCAAAATCAATATAAAAAAGGCAATTATAATAGCATATTAAATTTATAAATATAATATTGAAGAATTAACGTGTTTATTCTAATAAGATATTTATCACAATTAAAGTGTTCATAAAAATGTAAATGAAAACTCAAGATTGAAAAAGAAATACTCTCAAATACAATAAATAAAAATGTATACGTATGTGTGACGAGTCAAATTTGTTTTGACAGGAACAACTCCTAACATATGGCCATCCTACTTTTCGGCTGTCCTCCAAATTTCTACAGAACACAATCCAGAGCGAAAGCTTCGTGGGGAATTCTCATAAAAGCGACTCTCCCATTTTGCCAAAAGAATATAAATCGAAACGGATGTAAATTCTAAACAGAACTGGAAAACAAACGCCGGGATAGCTGCCACCGACCTGCACCATGAGTCCAATCACGAAGACCATGGCCACGCAGGAGACGATGTCCGCATGATTTTGTATGACGAACTCGTGGCTGAGGATCGGTGGGTTCTTGCTCGAGCTCTTGCGTCCCTTCATCGTCACCATCTTGGCCGACAGGAGTGTATGTTCACTGAGCGGTGAACGCGGCACAACAGACAGACGGCGGACGGACGAGCGGCTCCACTGCAAGAAACCGGACCACGACGTTTCACGGAAACGTCATGCGTGTATAAGTACACGCCACACACGCGGTGGCCAACCGGGCCAACGCCGAGCAATGTGGCGCTCGCTCCCCTAACCCGTTGGCACCGCAAACGTCATGCTGACTACTACTGTACTCCGATTCTTCAAATCTTCATCCACTTCACTGGACCTTCTTCCCATCCGTCGCAATCGCATGAAAAAATGTATGTGTATTTTCAGTGTATTCTACGTAAATACTGAGCTGGACCCATCGAAGTGAAGAAGAACAGGGAATAAAAGGTAGAGCAGACGTTCGTTTGACTTGTAGCGCGACGTAACCACCGCGCTACGCGGTTGAATTCGAATTGGAAAAAATGTTTAAAGAATTACATTTAAAATTAATACTATTATATCTCATCGGTGATAATACTAAAAATATATATAAACTTTATAGATTATTTCATTATTACGTATGGATATCTGTGTAAAAGTTTGAACACAATTCTCCTACTGGTTTCAAATTTTTTACTTAATTTTTTGGTTTGTCTTGATTCTTTAGTAAAATTGTGTTTTGTAATATTTTTACAAATTAGATGAAGAAGTCACATTGAGAATCAATTCAAATTATATCTACGTTTAATGAACAATAAAGATAGATTGACACAATGCGCTGATGCTGTTGATTTCGCATATTAGCTCAAATTTTAAGGGCTTATAAAATACACATTCTTTTATCATCGAAACTGAAATTACTTTGATAATTTAATTTTTTATATTTTTTGGAGAAAACATTTTTACAAAAACGTAAAAATCGAACTTTTTTTTAAAAACAAGTGTCATTTATTTATTATGCGAAATGAATTATTCTAGTTCATACGATAATCGCAAGTGTCCTGATTAAAATGAACTTTTATTTTTATTTCGTTCGCTGGGAGACCCGGAGTCATAGTCACCGACGATCTCTATAAATGATGCAGAGAAAAAATGGATTTATAAAATGTCAAATATTATTCACATTTTTTATTAAAAAAAAGTAAAAATTTTATTTTTAAACTACAATAAATAAAACCCAAAAAATTATTTTAAAAAATATTCACTCACTTTTTCAAAAAAAAAAAAAATTCTTAAATATCTCTTAAAAAACAATGCGACAAAGTAATACCTCCTTAAAAATCATTATTTTCTGAATTTGACATTTTTCTCAAAATTCTGAAAGGATCATAGTCAAATTTAGAAAACGGATTCGTGTTCAGCATACAAAAAACAGGATTTACGTTTGTTCAAGTAATGATCTCCAATTCCTAAATTAGTGATTAGCATAAATATTAAATATTAAATAACATAAATATTAAATAAATGTTGTAAAGATGTTTTTTTTTATTCCAAAAAGTAAATAATTATTGATATCTTAAAATCAAAATAAAATCGTATCAGTATATATCTTCTATATTGTGTCTTAAGATAAAATTGAAACAATAATCTTCCAATTCCTGAAAATTATATGATATATATAAATAATTAAATTAACTATACAGAATAAAGTTATATTTTTTTATATTTAATAAATTTTAACATTTAAACTGAAACTAATTAAATAGATTAATAATAGAACAGTTGTAGTGACTAGGGATTTGATTTAGTCTTGCAATTTAATTCGTACATGATATAAAGAATTTTCAATGAAGAACATTTTAATGTGACAGAAATATGAATAAATAAAAGAAACATAAAAGAAGAACAAATTAATAAATAATAAGGTCAACAATAAAAACGAGCTATAATTATATGACAATGTAAAAATTTTTATTTTTTCACAATAATAATTTTCCAACGATACGTTTCGACTACACTTAGCTCATCAGTTGCAGAAATATAATTATCCCATATAATTAAAATTAAATTAACAATTTAGAGAATCATCTCAACTTCGATTTTCAATAGTCATTGCAAGAGATTTAAACGCGACTGCTGTCAGTTAAACTCTCTTGCAATCAAGATCTTGTATCATGTGAACAGTATTAGATTCTAAATTTTTTACTTTGCAATCGCAATAGACAGCTGCTAACTCATTAAGATCTATTATGTGCGTTTGCCTCATGAATATTTTAATTACTGATAGTATCAAGAAGGACGCACATACAACCATTTCATATAATTTCATCAATCTACGTCTGTAATTTCACTAAAAACTTTTTATTACTCACACTGACTGACCTTTCTCACTTAATCAACAAATTAGTTGGATTATGACTCATCATTACTATGTTTTATTATTCAATCAATGACAAATATAATATAATCAACTAAATATAATATAGTTGCATTTATATTGACTATTGAAAATCGAAGTTGAGATGATCCTCTAAATTGTTCATTTAATTTTATTATATGGGGTAAATATATTCTGCAACTGATGAGGACTAAGTGTAGTCGGAACGTATCGTTAAAAAATTATATTGTGAAAAAATAAAAATTTTTACATTGTCACATCTAATTATAACTCGTTTTAATTGTTGACTTGGGTTATTATTTATTAATTTTGTTTGAAAGTTATATGAGCATTAAAGAATTATTTTTAATTTATGTTTTAATATAAAAGAAGAATACATAATTAAGAATAAAATCCTAATTGGACAGTAAATCAATCTTATAAAAAAAATGATCGAATATTTTATTTTGGAAAAGAAATAATAGAAAGAAAAGAAAAAAGTGATACCGTCAGTTACCTTTATGCCATACTGCATTGCTATTTTTTTAATATAGAAAACGTCGAATATTGTTATCTTTTTTTTTATTATTCGAATACAATCTTTCTCAAGATTAAACATACAATATTTGTTAGATAACTTTAAAAGCTCTGCAACGAAACATTCATTTTAATTATGAATAGAAGATGATACCAATGTATTTAATTAAAACTCACCTAATTCGTTTTCCAAAGACAATAGATCGATTACACCGGTGTATAAATATTTAAAAAACGCTCTATACACAATATACGAATAATCATCATACTTGATAACCCTGTTCCAAACATGTTAAAGTGCACCAAATGAGTCAAACATTACAAGTTTTTAATAAAAATGCATATTTCATAAATAATTACCTTTGTTTATTTTCAAGTCCACTAAACTGGAACATGTTTGCGAAATATGATGAACGGATTTTCAGAATATACTTGTGAACATAGATAGATTTCTTTCCAACTTCTATTGTAAAACAGCTCGAGGACTTTAAATATGAGAAAAGAGAGTTAAAAAATAAGAATTGTTCGAAATAAATATATGTAACAAATATAATATAAGAAGAAAAAAATTATTATCATATAAAAGACGTGTTATAGAATAAATAAAAAAATCTATAGAATAAAAAGGATAAAAAGGAGGATGGAAGCAAGTACTTTTAACGTATGAAAATATTTAACAAACGGCTTGCGACACCTGGCAGGCCTCCAATTAATTGAAAATCTATTAAAGTATATTAATGCATTAGCATAGAGAATGAAATTTACATTATCATTGAATGCCGCTTCTAAATCGCTTAATATCATATTTTCTTCATCTGTATATGTATGAAAAATAGATATCGGTGATTGTGCCATCGTCAAATTGCATATGTCAAATATATTTGTGTATTCGCAGATGGCAAATTCCTCAATTTTTTTTCCAAATAGCTCACCCCGTATATAGACGAGTTGATCTTCGCTAGATTTGACAATGCTCGCATATTCTATGATGGCGATATCTGATATTTTCTTTACATTAGGTATATTTATCTGTGATTGCAAAATTTTCTAGTTTATTTTATTTGTTCCTTTTATCACGAAAATTACAAACAAAAACAATTAAATAATTCACCATAAAAGGAGTTAGTACTTCATCAATATGAAATGACTTCAATTGTTTCTTATAGTTAGCACCCCAGGCATAGACTTTTCCTTTGTCAGTGAGGACAAGTGTATGAAAATGTCCACAAACAACTTTAACTAAAATATCGAAATTAGAGAAATTTGTTTATTTAATAGTATCATATTCATAAATTCTAGATTTACTTATATATCTTCACTTTTTTACTAATATATATATATATTAGGTCATTTAAAAAGTATCCGCGGTTTTTTGTTCAATTTTTGAATGAAAAAACCGCGGATACTTTTTAAATGACCCAATATATACAACATATATAATATATATGAATATGTGTGTTTTAAAAACAAATATATTACCAACTGTTGAGCCTGAGAATTGAATCACTTTATATGGATCTGTCATAAAACTGTCTTTATCTTTAGCTGTATAGAAATTATATTTATCAGACAAACCCCACTCATATACTTCATCGTTATTACTAATAACCACATAAAAATTTTCACCGCAAGCAATGTGTGTGATTTTTCCTTCGATATTTATCTGCCTGATATAGTTGCGTACTTTGCGATGAGGTTCATTCCACCAAATTTGGAATGGAGTTAAATAATATATCTAAATTAAATAATCATAATATATTTAAATAAAATCCGTATATTTAAATAAATTCAATATAAATTATTATTATATTTAGTATAATATTTTATTCATAAATTTACCTTTCCATCATCAGTTAAAACCAGAGAGTTAGAGGGATGAAATGAGGTTTTTACAATGCGTATGTTGGTCCAATCATTTACATCAGGCCAATAACGGACATCAAATAATTTACCGAATTTTTCATACACCTTTAAGTTACTTCTCCAATAATATTTCTTTTAAAGATAATTAAAGGTTATTATAGATTTTACTTATTATATATTACATATTATATCCTTATTTCGTACTATGATTAATTTGATTCATGAAATGTTAAAAAATAAAATAATATAATGTAAAAGTAAAGCAAAGAGCAGCGCTTATTCCTTTTTTTCGTCTTTAACATTGACTAACGTTAGTTAACGATATCGACAACTGTCGGTAGCCGTATCTATACAGAGTAGTATCTCAGTATCTCGATTCTGTAATTCTTAACGATAATAATCGGTATCGTTATTTTATCGTTACGCAAATATTTTGTCTATTTCTTGCACTAGACTGCATGAGAACTCTCTTTTTCACTTTCGACAAATATTTATATATCAATCTCATACTTTTCTCACTTTAAATTCCGAAAGTGTACACTAATTCAACTATAGAAAATAGACCTATTATAATACATGATGAAAAGCTGGCAACGACAACGTAACGGTACCAAACTATCGTTACAGAAAAAAGTTACAGAATCGATAGTATTAATAAGATAATGAAATATCACTCTCCATAAAGAGAGGGTCTATTTTTTGTAACTTGTTATAATAGTAGCAACATAAAATATGTAAAAAAATATTATTATTTATAACCTAATCTAAATTTTTTAAAGACAAAATTTATTTTATCATTTTCTATTATTTACATTTTTACATGTTTTATTTATTAACTAAATAAAAATAATAATGTTTGTTAATTCTTTATTTATAATTCAATTCCTAAATATAGAAAAATATTTAAAATATATTGAATAATCATTAGTAATTTTTTACAAATATCAAATATTCTTTTATCATAATATAAAATTTTATATAGTATATACCTCTCCATCTTCAGTAATCAACAAAATTATAAATGTACTAGAACACTCTAACAAAAAATTGCAAATGAGAAACTTTAGCTTTTTACTGAACATAAAGTTTATTTCTGATGGTGCCTTATAACAATTTATGGTTCCCTCGAAATTCTTATATTTAAAACACGACTTTAGAGCAAGCCTTAAACAAAAATAATTGTAATGTTATAAAGTATATACTGTCATAAAAAAATAGTTAATTAATGAAATAATTTACAGTTGTTGTCTTCGCGGAAAAAAAACAGATAAAGATTATTATTTGAATGTTTCTTATCTAAAATGTTGCAAATTTATAAAAACTGCACATGTCATTGAAGAATTACAACTGATGTAAGAGAGATTGTGCGTTCTATATTTAATAATTTACTTTCCTCATCTGTGACGTATTAAAATCCTATTATTTTACAAATCACATTTAAATTATATATAATTTTATTACTATAACGATTTTTGTGACATGTCATGTGTTAAACAGTAAATCCGATTCTGAATGATTAACATCTATATGCATCATTATTCCGAAACTGTTAAGTAGACGTGTATTTCTACAAAAATTGAAAGAATAGAAAAACTATAAACTTACTTATATTTGTATGTAGATAAATTATCTTCTGTTTCCGTAGCTAAAAGATCTGTCATGATAATTAAAATGCCTTATTACTACTATGATACTGTATATTATATTATATCGCAATGTACCAAATATGTGTTAACGGTTGGAAATAAAAATGATTTAAATGATCAAATGACCTTTTCCTTGTGTTTAGAACCAGTAAGAGGATAATCTTATAGCTATATACATTTATAACTATTGAAACACAATAAACAATAAAAGTACAATGGTATGAGTGATTTTTTACACACACACAGAGTGTTGTAGAGTGAGAGACTATGAATACTTTCTTTTTAAAGTCTATTTCCACGATACCAGAAATCGGTCCGAGATCTCGAACAGAGAGAGAACTAACAAATCGCATTTGAATAATTCGGTCACATGACCAACGTGTGATTTGTGAGTTCCTTTATCATTCGAGATCTCGAACTGATTTTTATAATAATACAGCATCGTGGAAGGTTTTAAATTCACAAACATCATTCTATCTTTCTTGATGTTCAATAAATAATAAAAATAAAATGACATTTATGTTAACTTTATGTCTCTTATCATGAGACACTGAGCTTATTTGATAGATTTCGTCTCTTTTCATCTGCAGAGAATGTGATGCGATAATAAAAAAAATTTCATGATGACATACTATTCACTATATACGTGTAATTTCTTTCTTTTTTTCCAAACAACTTCAGCTTCAAACGAGATCCAGTACGCAATTCAGGCGACATCTGTACATGAAGAATCTTAATTCTTCTTGTTCGGTCTAAAGTTCTAAAGGATTTCGTTTAATCATATATGAAGAAAAAAGCTAATTCCCACCAGCCCTTGAATTCCCACTATAGCCTCCTTAGCATTGGCTGCGTTCAGCAGAGGAAACAGCTTTGCAACTGTTGTAAAATTTTTGAATATGATTGGTTTATACATTTAGATCCAGTAAGGAACTAAAAGCAAGACCAATTATATTCAAGAATTTTACGGTTTTTAATTAATTTTAAGGTAAATTACAATAAATATAATAATAATAATAATTTATAATGAATTTATTTAAATATATACAGATTTTATTTAAATATATTGTAACAAGAACACCTATATACAGGGTTGGCCATATTCGACGGAAAGATCTGAAAAGATTTTCAACTGGTGAGGCACTTACTAATCCCGAGCATCCAAATAAAATGCGACCAAGGCGATCGGATGATAATATCGCACTCGTACAGGCCAGTGTTTAGAGGTCTCCAACAACATCTCAAACACGTCGATCTGCAGTTGGGCATAAAACGAACCACTTTACGTCGCATATTGCATCATGATTTGCATTTGTTCCCATACAAAGTTCAACTGACGCAAAAACTGTTACCTGTCGATAAGCCACGTCGATTGGAATGGGCCCAAAGAGTAATCGAAATGGTTGAAACTGACGAAAATTTTTGGCAAAAAATCATCATGAGCGATGAAGCTCATTTCACGTTAACCGGAACCGTAAACAAACAAAATTGTCGGTTCTATGGTACTGAAAATCCTCAAATCATTAACGAGGTACCTCTTTATGCCCAGAAAGTAACTGTTTGGTGCGGTGTTTGTGCCGATATGATCATTGGCCCGTTCTTTTTCGAAGATGAAGCTGGCGAAACGGTTACCGTCAATCAGGAGCGTTATCGTGATATGGTAAGTGATTTTTTGATGCCAATTGTTCGTGATAATGGCATGGAGCACTTCTGGTTTCAACAAGATGACGCTCCACCACACACAGCTCGAGCCACTATCAATTTCTTGAAACAATTGTTCCCTGGACGTTTGATGTCAAAAAATGGTGATTTTGAATGGCCATCGCGTTCACCAGATTTAACGGCTCCAGACTTCTTTTTGTGGGGCTATTTGAAATCAAAGGTTTATGTCAACAAGCCAAGGACCCTAGACGAACTTAAGGCCAACATCCGACAGGAAATAGCCGCCATATCGGCCGAAACATTGGTCAAAACGATGGAAAACGCTGCAAAACGGGCACTACTCGCCATGCAGGCTCAAGGCGGTCATTTAAGAGATATCATATTCAAAAAATGATGTACACAAATCTCCTTGAACCCTATTAAATGATTTTTAAAATGAACAGCAAAAAATGTGTTTTTTTCCCATGATTGAAGAAAAAAACATCTTTCCGTCGAATATGGCCAACCCTGTATACGAAAATGAAGGAGATTCTTTCTGATGTAAAGACTTATTAAAAATTCAAAAAGATCCGATAAATAAATTGACTCAAGATTTACATGCATTACTCACGAGATGGAAGTACAAGGAATTTATTGAGGATTCCACATATCGAAGACTACTCACAACGGACTAAAATATTCCCAGAGCTTATGAATTAATAAAAATTCATAAAGCTGGTAACCTATTGAGAATTATTGTTTCTTCATTAAACAGTCCATTTTACTATCTCTCACTTTACTTACATAACATTATCAAAAAGAATATGCCAAATGCTCCAAGCTACATTAAAGATAGCTTTCATTTTTTGTAACAGATTTAGTCTATGTAATCGTAAACATACATGAACAGAAGTTAAAGAAAGTTAGATAAAGGTTAAAGAAAGAGAAATAATGCAAACATATATTCTTCTATCTCGCAAAATTTTGACAAAAACGCCTTATGATGTATGACTCTTATTATATATGTATAAGTAACTTACATGTGAATAAAATTAAATTTATCTAATAATTTATATTTGTAAGTGTTATTTAAAGTAAAAGTCTCATTTTAAGAAAAATTAGGACATTCTGATCTCAAAAATATTTTTTTTCAAAATTAACTTTTTTTTAAACTTAAGTTAATTCAACCTTAACTTAACTTTTATTAAGTTAATTCTTTATTCCTTCAACTTTTAATTTAATTTTATTAATTTTATAAGATATTAACTTTAACTTAATTTAGTTTAAAAAAAACATTACCTCACTCTGCGTATTCATCTTTAAGTTGGCTCCACCAATATTTCTATTTGATAATATCACAGACTTTATTCAATTGTTTATATTATGCATAACATATATTTATTTCGTGCTTATTTCTACTCTTATACTTATTTTTACTTCATCATATAAGATATATGTTATAAAATAAACTAATGTAGCGAAAAAGCAAGTAAAAAAATTAATAAGATATTGAGTAATGCAACCGCTATATTATTCAATTCAATGAACATACATATAAAATGTCTGTCAATTCTACCAATTGGTTGAGCTGATCTTTATAAATATAAAAAATGTAAATATAAGACATATCATGCATCTACGTTGTGAAATATTATGCAAATAATCTTACGAAATATTTAAGTATGACATGATAATGTATATTATGTTGTTATATTTTTATATCTATTAAACGTATATAAATCAGATATTTTATGTACATAGTTTATTCTCAACATATAATTCCCATACAATACAAATTATTTCAACAAATAATCGACATTTCCCAGGAATAAACAATATTAACATTATTATCATTTTCTTGGAATAATTTGTACTAATTTACGTTACTCTAAAATATAGAGGATATAAAACAATGCCCTCTAACACAATGTTCTACACTATTTTTTCAATGTTTATAAAAATAATATATCTTAATTTTAAAAAGATCTATTTTTTTACATTTATATATTTTATTTATTACAAGATAAACAACAATCTTTTTAACTTCACTTATATTTCAACTTTTAAACATAAAAATATTTAAAATATATTAAATAAAAAATCATTAGTCAATTTTTATAAATGCCAAATATTTTTAACATAATATAAACATTTAATTTACCTCTCCATTTTCAGTGAGCATAAAAATATATAACATGCCTAAATGTCACAAACGAGAAACTTTATTTCTTTACTGAATATCAAATCTATTTCTTGGTGCTTACGATTTAAAGTATTTCTAAAATCAGCCACATGCTTATAAGCGCAATGTGAATTTGTAACAAGCCTTAAACAAAAATAATTGCGATGATTAGAGATGAAAATGACCCAATTTGCATCCAAATGCATCCAATTGAATCTAATTGAATCCAATTGAATCCAATTAAATTAAAAAAAAGTATACGCTATTTAAAAAACGCATTCAGAAAAAAATTTCAATCCATTTTAATCCATTCTTGTTTGTTGGGAATCTATCTTCATTAGAATAAAATTATTATAGCTATTTTTCCCTTGCTTATCTTTTTCTTTAATAGAATGGAGACATTGTGTCGGATATCTGGAAAATTTGATATCCAGCGGATAATTTCTCTACCGGATATTTGACCGCGGGATCAAATACCGGTGTCATTCTTTTCGAATATCCGATATCCAGTATCCGGCAATTTTATTGACGCTTCCTATTTATTAGATGCTTATTCCAACAAGAGTATTGTAACATGCCAATTCACATTTTCATATTATAACATGCCAATTCATGTTTTTATAGAATATGATGCTAATTCGCATTTTCGTACGATAAGATGGCAGTTTATGATTCCAAGCAATATGATAAAATGCTAATTTGTATGTCCATTTAATAAAATATCAAGTCAAGTACCCAACGTATTACACTACATACAAATTAACAAATCAAACTCCTAATGATTTACTTTTATTATTATAAATACATTACTATATTGTTATAGCTGTCGATTAATAAATTGTTATATTTATTAATTATTCTAAAAATTGTTTAATTTCTAGATTCATAATAATGTATTTATAATAATAAAAGTAAATTGTTTGGAGTTGGATTTGTTAATTTGTATAAATAATAATAGCAAAAAGTGTAACGAAGAAATTTTAAAAGCTTCAAATCTACATTATTTCATTAAATCAGTAGTAATATATCGAAAAGCACGAATTGACATTATATTGCACGGATACTTGAGTTGGTATCTTATTAAATGGATATAGCATCTTACTTATGCTTGTAAGCATAAGCTGGCATCTTATTGTACATAAGCACGAATAGGCATTTTATTGCACGAAAGCGCGAGTTGACATCTTATTGAACAAAAGCGCGAATTAGCATCTTATTCTATAAAAATGTGAATTGTTACAACACTTTTGTTGGAATAAGTATTTTATAAATAGGAGGCGTCGTTATGATTTCTAATACATTTCTAATATATAGTATATCAGTACAAACTGCAGCGGTCACAACTTGCTGCTTTCATTAGGAGAGGATACCTAAGAAAAAGAAAAGAGAACGAAATGTAAACCTAAAAGTAACCTTTATGAAAATCGAGTTACCATTGCAATTATGTGAACCATTACATATACACCTAAGTAGAAAAAATGATTAACGTCAGTCAAATCCATGTTGATTCAATGTCGATCTGTATTGTTTAACATTGGGAAAAACAAGGGTAAGTACAAGTGCACTCGAATAATAGCTATTGAAACTCTGCAAGATTACGATTCATATGATGTGATCATGTGAGATCCCACGCCAGAGAGAAGGGACCTTATGTTTCACCATGATGGAAGTAGACCAAAGTAGACATTTCCTACCATGATTGAAGTTCCATGATTTAGAGTGCGTTCAAGGAGATGCTAGTAGTACTATTTGTGTTCCTCTGATCGCACTGGCGTTTTAGCTTGGCTAGAAAAATTTGATGCCCGTTAACATTCTCTTAAGTGCAACCAGAGTAGAAAACAAAATAAGAGACGTATTAACAAGTTATTATTATTAGAGGCACAGCGTATATATTTCTTGTCCAATTGTTGTTTTTTTTATAGAATATATGTTATTGATATAAAAAATATGTATAGCAGCAATAAGAACTGTAATGAAATATTAATAGTCTATCATAATGAAAATGGATTTGTATTTAATTAAAAAAAAAATAAATTATATATATATTTCATTTATAT